TCCTGTACTTCCATGCAGAGTTACCACATCTCAGGAGGTAAATGTACACCGCCACATCCCAAGGGGGGGGAAAAACAAAAAAGACAAACAACAAACAAAACCTAAAAGGGATACCCTCAGTATGAAAGGGACTTTAAAGGCATCATACTAGTACACATCCTGACTGGATATTTATTTCATGTATGTATATAGTACCGTTAATGTACGCAGCGCTTTACAAACACACACACATATATATATATATTGTACATTCACATCAGTCTCTAACCCTCAAGGGGCGTACAATCTAAGGTCTCTAACCCTCAAGGGGCGTACAATCTAAGGTCCCCAACCCTCAAGGGGTGTACAATCTAAGGTCCCCAACCCTCAAGGGGTGTACAATCTAAGGTCCCCAACCCTCAAGGGGCGTACAATCTAAGGTCCCCAACCCTCAAGGGGCGTACAATCTAAGGTCCCTAACCCTCAAGGGGCGTACAATCTAAGGTCCCTAACCCTCAAGGGGCGTACAATCTAAGGTCCCTAACCCTCAAGGGGGGTACAATCTAAGATCCCTAACCCTCAAGGGGCGTACAATCTAAGGTCCCTAACCCTCAAGGGGCGTACAATCTAAGGTCCCTAACCCTCAAGGGGCGTACAATCTAAGGTCCCTAACCCTCAAGGGGCGTACAATCTAAGGTCCCTAACCCTCAAGGGGCGTACAATCTAAGGTCCCTAACCCTCAAGGGGCGTACAATCTAAGGTCCCTAACCCTCAAGGGGCGTACAATCTAAGGTCCCTAACCCTCAAGGGGCGTACAATCTAAGGTCCCTAACCCTCAAGGGGCGTACAATCTAAGGTCCCAAACCCTCAAGGGGCGTACAATCTAAGGTCCCTAACCCTCAAGGGGCGTACAATCTAAGGTCCCTAACTCACATTCATACATACACATACTAGGGCCAATTTAGACAGGATCCAGTTAACCTACCAGCATGTCTTTGGAGTGTGGGAGGAAACCGGAGTACCCGGAGGAAACCCACGCAGGCACAGGGAGAACATGCAAACTCCAGGCAGGTGGTGCTATGGCTGGGATTGGAACCAACGACCCGAGTACTGCCAGGCGGAAGTGCTAACCATTTAGCCATTGTGCTGGATAAAACAATGTTTATTCACATAAAAATGGTGGAAAACCCCATAAGCATAAAACTCATACATTTGAATTTAAACATAAACCTTCATAAAACCGTGCAAAGTCCAGGCTGGTGTTGTGTCCCGCTGATAGTGCCGATGTGCTTCGCAGTCCACAGCTGCTTCATCAGGGACCTCACTGGACTGTTCAAAAAGTTCAAAAATTATTTCATAATGATTTAATTTCCTTAAATGGCATTTAACATATCAGATCATTGGTAATTCACAGCGTACCACAACATTAAATAATGGCCTAATTGCCGCTAATTCCTGAGCGGGCGCTGTATGCGTGGTTAAAGAGCCCTCCCCCCACCAAATGGCAGTGAGTGAGAGGGCTTTCCGGACACAAGAAGAGGGGAGGCAGAAGGAAGCCGCCACCGACTGGGTTGCCCGCACTATAACAGAAGATGGGTGAAAAAATATTAATGGAAGAAAAGAGAAAAACAAAAATAATTAAAAAATATAACAACCCATGTCACCCATATGCTAAACCCAGTGCATATGCTTAAAAAGCTTTTACCCAATTGCTGTGTACTAAAAGGCAAGAGCCCGCGTCCTCACCCCTGTAACAAGATTCCTGCACTACTGTTTTTTAAATTGAGTAATTTTTACCCCGCGTTCACTATATCCGCTCTCCCCGGACCCCGCGTTCACTATATCCAGTCTCCCCGGACCCCGCGTTCACTATATCCGCTCTCCCCGGACCCCGCGTTCACTATATCCGCTCTCCCCGGACCCCGCGTTCACTATATCCGCTCTCCCGGACCCCGCGTTCACTATATCCGCTCTCCCCGGACCCCGCGTTCACTATATCCGCTCTCCCCGGACCCAGCGTTCACTATATCCGCTCTCCCCGGACCCCGCGTTCACTATATCCGCTCTCCCCGGACCCCGCGTTCACTATATCCGCTCTCCCCGGACCCCGCGTTCACTATATCCGCTCTCCCCGAACCCCGCGTTCACTATATCCGCTCTCCCCGGACCCCGCGTTCACTATATCCGCTCTCCCCGGACCCCGCGTTCACTATATCCGCTCTCCCCGTACCCCGCGTTCACTATATCCGCTCTCCCCGGACCCCGCGTTCACTATATCCGCTCTCCCCGGGCCCCGCGTTCACTATATCCGCTCTCCCCGGACCCCGCGTTCACTATATCCGCTCTCCCCGGACCCCGCGTTCACTATATCCGCTCTCCCCGGACCCCGCGTTCACTATATCCGCTCTCCCCGGACCCCGCGTTCCTTATATCCGCTCTCCCCAGACCCCGCGTTCACTGTATCCGCTCTCCCCGGACCCCGCGTTCACTGTATCCGCTCTCCCCGGACCCCGCGTTCACTGTATCCGCTCTCCCCGGACCCCGCGTTCACTGTATCCGCTCTCCCCGGACCCCGCGTTCACTATATCCGCTCTCCCCGGACCCCGCGTTCACTGTATCCGCTCTCCCCGGACCCCGCGTTCACTGTATCCGCTCTTTTCGATCACATGCACTCTCCCAAGAAAAAAGCCTTTCTAGCAATACACACCAACCTGAGCATGTGCAGTGTGTCTCCACATGATATGTCTTATCAGGAAATAAGAGGGGGACACTGGTAGAAAGGGAGGATCAGAGAAGACAGGATCAAACAGACTTTTTACACAATGCGGAGTATTAACCCCTTAGGTTCCACAGTGAGTATAACAAGCACGTGTTACTGCATCTACAGACTATTTGTGGGTTTAGTAACACTTTAACCAGATTTTTTAGGAAAAAAGAGTAAAGTTGCAATGAACTATTTTTTGCATGAATAAAGATAGTACACCTCGCATACCTTACACTTGATATAAAACCAGGCATGTAGTAAAATATACAAGATGGTTACAATAATAACTTCCAGATTGTGCAAGATGCAAAAGATATCCATCAGAAGAAAGAGAAATTCTCTGTGAACAATATCCATTTACTGGGGACCATAGTGAATGATCACAGAGATCACATGGTACAGGGCTGTTCACAACAGCCTTGTACCATGTGACAAGCTGTGACCAATCACAGCTCACACAGTAGTTCTCAATGGCTGCAAGAATGCAGCCAGAGAGAAGGAGAAATTATTGCTTTTACAACCTTTATGGGTGTAAAAGCAATCGGTGTATAAAAAAAAAAAATCTTCCTCATCCCCCACAAGTAGTACAGTGTCACCATGGTGACACTGTACTGCTAGGGTGACAGTATGTAAAAAAAAATTATAAAAAATAAAATTAACATTTTTTGAAAAATTATAATTTTTGGTTATAAACTAATTTGGGTTATTTTCTTTGCTAAAAAGATAACTGAATACATTTTGGCCAAGATTTATGAAGAAAGATTATTTGCAAAATTTTATAAGAAAAACACTTTTTCTTTTTCAAAATTTTTGTACTTTTCATTTATATAGCAAAAAAAATAAAAGTCCCAATGGTAAATAAATACCACCAAAATAAAGTTTTATCTGTCTCAAAAAAATTCATATGGGTACAGTGTTGCATGACCGCGCAATTGTCATTCAAAGTGTGACAGTGGTGAAAGCTGAAAATTGGCCTGAGCAGGAAGGGGGGGAAAGTGTCCGGACTGGAAGGGGGGGGAAGTGTCCAGACTGGAAGGGGGGGAAAGTGTCCGGACTGGAAGGGGGTGAAAGTGTCCGGACTGGAAGGGGGTGAAAGTGTCCGGACTGGAAGGGGGTGAAAGTGTCCGGACTGGAAGGGGGCGAAAGCGTCCGGACTTCAAGGGGGGGAAAGCGTCCGGACTGGAAGGGGGGGAAAGTGTCCGGACTGGAAGGGGGGGAAAGTGTCCGGACTGGAAGGGGGGGAAAGTGTTCCGGACTGGAAGGGGGGAAAGTGTTCCGGACTGGAAGGGGGGAGTGTCCCGGACTGGGGGGGAAAGTGTCCGGACTGGAAGGGGGGGAAAGTGTCCGGACTGGAAGGGGGGGAAAGTGTCCGGACTGGAAGGGGGGGAAAGTGTCCGGACTGGAAGGGGGGGAAAGTGGGGGGAAAGTGTCCGGACTGGAAGGGGGGGAAAGTGTCCGGACTGGAAGGGGGTGAAAGTGTCCGGACTGGAAGGGGGCGAAAGCGTCCGGACTGGAAGGGGGCGAAAGCGTCCGGACTGGAAGGGGGGGAAAGCGTCCGGACTGGAAGGGGGGGAAAGCGTCCGGACTGGAAGGGGGGGAAAGCGTCCGGACTGGAAGGGGGGGAAAGCGTCCGGACTGGAAGGGGGGGAAAGTGTCCGGACTGGAAGGGGGGGAAAGTGTCCGGACTGGAAGGGGGCGAAAGCGTCCGGACTTCAAGGGGGGGGAAAGTGTCTGGACTGGAAGGGGGGGAAAGTGTCTTTTCCATAATACAATACTTTCCGGCGGGCTGACATCACACAATCTGCGTTGACTCTTCGTAAGTGACAAAAATTTTCAAGATTCTGAAGTATATTTCTAGAAGTTTCTATATGCTCTTACATTTGGTGATGACGTTATCTTGTAACGAATGTTTACCGTTTAAATTTGCTTTTGCTAGATTGTAAGCTCTTGTGAGCAGGATGCATGTCTGCAGTAATTGGTCCCTATATTGTGACTGTCTGTCTTTCTTTTTTTCTTTTGTAACAGCTGAAATCGACAGAGGATGTTTGCAAATGTTTTCTCAACTTTTATTTCATGTGCATTCTTGCAGGGTCTCCATTTATTCAGAAATCTTCTTGTGCCATTTGGCTGAATACAGTACAGCCTTAATTTTATTGCATCCCTAAAACGTTCATTGAAGACGCAAATTCCAGAGTGGTGCGTAACTGTGATATATTGGTGCACGATACTTACTTTCATTTTGTCGCTCACCTTTTAGGAAGATGAAAAATTTCTTACAGAATTATTTGCGCACCTCACAGATGAAGCAACAGACGATGAAAAGAGGCAGGAGCTAGTAAGTCTGGGCATGTGGCTGAATGGTACATTTAATTGTTTAACACCTTCCCGCCCGGCCTATAGCAGATTGCTAGCCGGGCGGGACACTCGCTTTTGTGACTCGGCGTCATACAACGTCCTGTAAAAAGGAGCCGCTCATGGGGCCGCGCAGCAGTTCGATCTGTCACCGGCTGTTGTGATTGGGCGTCATACAACGTCCTGTAAAAAGGAGCCGATCACGGGGCCGCGCAGCAGTTCGATCTGTCACCGGCTGTTGTGATTGGGCGTCATACAACGTCCTGTAAAAAGGAGCCGCTCATGGGGCCACGCAGCAGCACAATCTGTCACCGGCTGTTGTGATTGGGCGTCATACAACGTCCTGTAAAAAGGAGCCGCTCATGGGGCCACGCAGCAGCACAATCTGTCACCGGCTGTTGTGATTGGGCGTCATACAACGTCCTGTAAAAAGGAGCCGCTCATTGGGCTGCACTGCGGCGCGATCTGTCACCGGCTGTTGTGATTGGGCGTCATACAACGTCCTGTAAAAAGGAGCCGCTCATGGGGCCACGCAGCAGCACAATCTGTCACCGGCTGTTGTGATTGGGCCATACAACGTCCTGTAAAAAGGAGCCGCTCATGGGGCTGCGCTGCGGCGCGATCTGTCACCGGCTGTTGTGATTGGGCGTCATACAACGTCCTGTAAAAAGGAGCCGCTCATGGGGCTGCGCTGCGGCGCGATCTGTCACCGGCTGTTGTGATTGGGCGTCATACAACGTCCTGTAAAAAGGAGCCGCTTACGGGGCCGCGCAGTAGTTCGATCTGTCACCGGCTGTTGTGATTGGGCGCCATACAACGTCCTGTAAAAAGGAGCCACTCACGGGGCCGCGCAGCAGCACGATCTATCACCGGCTGTTGTGATTAGGCGTCATACAACGTCCTGTAAAAAGGAGCCGCTCACGGGGCCGCGCAGCAGTTCGATCTGTCACTGGCCTGTCATGCTATCTATTGTATACAATTATGTTGTTGGCTGTGACTGGTCAAGGCAGTCACATGATACAGACATGGCCAAGAAGAGAGCAGCTACCTGGTTTTGACAGGTACCCCACTCCCACTTCTTGTCAGATGCACCGTGGTGATCTGAGCTGAAAGTTCCCCCACAGCCTTCTGGGACATATCACCGATCCCAGAAGGCTGCAGGACCATTCCCAAAGCACAGCGCGACTCACGCATGTGCAGTAGGAAACCGGCTCTGAATCCACAAGTATATAAATACTCTAAGTTCAGGTTCATTTTTAATGTAAATAAAACCCTCTTTTCATTGCAATTGTAATAATAAAAACTTGGGATTTTTTTTTTTTTTTTAATTTCACCAGAACCATTAGGTGATCTTATTCTCCAAGTATTACCAAAAAGTTAAGTCTCATTTCGGGAGGCCAGTCCCTTTAACTGTGGAACCTTATTGCTTATTGTTTCCCTTTTTACAATGTCATTTTTTTTTTTACAGCCCCAATTACAAAAAAGTTGGGACGCTGTGTAAAAGCGACATAAAAACAGAATGCAATGATTTGCAAATTTCATAAACCCGTATTTTATTCACAATAGGAAATCTATCGAATGATTAAACTGAGAAAATGTATAATTTTAAGAAAAAAATTAGGTCATTTTTAAATTGATGGCAGCAACACGTCTCAAAGTTGTAACAGGGCCTTGTTTACCACAGTGGAGCTCCTCCTCTTTTTACCAACACTCTGTATTCGTTTGGGAACTGGAGATCAGTTGTTGGAGTTTTGGGAGAGAAATGTTGTCCCATTCTTGCCTGATATAGGATGCTGACTGCTCGACAGTCCTGGGTTTTTGTTGTATTTTTTATTTTAAGATGCACCAAACATTTTCAGTTGGTAAAAGGTCTGGACTGCAGGCAGGTCAGTTAAGCACCCAGGCTATTCTACTACAAAACCATGCTGTTGTCATAGATGCAGTAGAGCATTGTCCTGCTGATATATGCAAGGTGTATTTCCAGATGTGCAGGCCCCTCACTCCAGCTACACTAATGCCCCCCTGATACCATCAGAGATGTCTGCTTTTGAACTGAGCACTTATAACAAGCTGGAAGGTCCCTCTCCTTTTTAGTCTGGAGGACGTGGCGGCCATGTTTGCAAAAAAAAAAAAATGTAAAAGTTTGATTTGTCTGACCACAGAACAGTTTTCCACTTTGCAACAGACCATTTTAAATGAGTTTTGGCCCAGAGAAGATGGTGGCATTTCTGGATCATGTTCAGATATGGCGTCTTCTTTCCATGACAGAGCTTTACCTTTTCTGGATGGCATGGCGAACTATGATCATACAGCGATTTGTGGAAGTATTCCTGAGCCCATGCAGTGATGTCCATCACAGAGTTACGCCTGTTTTTAATGCAGTGCCGTCTGCGACCCCGAAGATCACGAGCATTCCAGTATTGCGTTTTGGCCTTGTCACAGAGATTTCTCCAGATCTTTAGAATCCTTTAATGATGATATGTACTGTAGATGATGATATATTTAAAGTCTTTGCAACTTCACATTGAGGAACATTTTTCTGAAATTGTTGGAAAGTTTTTAGACGCAGCTTTTCACAAATTTGTTGATCCTCTGCCCATCTTTCCTTCTGAGACACTCTGACTCTCTGAGATGCTCTTTTTACACCAAATCATGTTACTGACCTGTTGCCAATAACCTAATTAGTTGCAAAATGTTCTTCCAGCTCTTCCTTATTAGTACCGCTTATCTTGCCAGCTTTTTGTTGCCTTGTCTCAACTTTTTTGAGACTTCTTGCTGCCATCAATTTCAAAATGTCCTTATTTTTCTTCAAATTTTAAATTTTCTCAGTTTAACCCCTTGGTGCCGGCACCTCCCGGCCCTTTAAGGGTTCCAGAAGACGGGGGGCGGGGTTTTAGGGTTATGTGACCGCCATGATTCGCCGTCACGCGGTCACATGATTGGGAAAGGTCCCGATCGAAAGAGGAGATCGGGACCTTTCTGTGAATACCGAACGTGTGTGCTGGGCGCGCGCTCCCAGCACATATGTTTTTTTTTTTTTAATAGAATGCAAATGTGCGGCCGCTCGGCGTCTAGGCCCAGACGCCGGGAGGCTGCACATTTGCGTTCGGCCGGCGTCAAGTGGTTAAACAGTTTGATATGTTTTCTATTGTGAATAAAATACGGGTTTATGAGATTTGCAAATCATTGCAATCTATTTTTATGTAGATTTTACACAGCATCCAACTTTTTTTGGAATTGGGATGTTATGGTGGTTGCTGTAATCTGAGTGGTTTAGTCATTTTGTGAGGAATGCTGAGTTAATCCTGTGTTTTGTTTATTTTCTTTTTGTTTTGTTTGCTTTTTTGTGCTACAGGTGAATTTCCTGAAAGAGTTTTGTGCTTTCTCTCAAACTTTACAACCTCAGAATAGAGACGCTTTCTTCAAGACTCTGTCCAATATGGGCATACTGCCTGCTCTGGAAGTGATTCTGGCAAGTAGCACAATGCATTATGTTGGGGGTTTTTTTGTCTTTTTTTACTAAAATAGAAATTGGCTGAAATGTTGTAATCCATGAATAGGCGTCAGTCATGCACTTTTTAGTACATTAGCATTGCTTAAAGTCTTGGTTATTTTATTTCCTCCTTACCAGACTAAAAACTGTCTTTTATTGTTATAAGTAGTTCAAAGTACAGTCCTTTTTGATCAATGCATTAACCCTTTCACTGCCAGAGCCGTTTTTGCATTTTGTTTTTGTTTTGTTTTTTTTGCACACTTTTAAAATATTATTTTAGGCCTGAATATTACACACAACCCCCACACATTATATATTTTCTGAAAGCAGACACCCTAGAGCAGGGGTAGGCAACCTGAGAGCCGCAGGACTACAAGTTCCATCATGCCTCTGCAAGTCATAGCTGTAGCTGTCAGTTTTGTAATCTTTGCAATGCCTCATGGGAAATGTAGTTCCACAACAGCTAGAGAGCCACAGGTTGCCTACCCTTGACCTAGAGAATAAAATTGTGACGGTTCCAATTTTTCATGTCACACGATATTACCACAAAGTTCTAGGAAATTCAAAACTTCAGTAAAAAAACACACACTAAAGTAAATTTTCGGGCAATCAAACGCAATAAATTATTCTAAATTTTGGTAAAATATAAAAGCCGAGGTTGCGCCGAGTAAATAGATACCCAACATGTCAAACCTTAAATTTGTGTGCGTCCATGAAATGGGGACAGACTTCAGTACCCTATATTTTCTATAGGCGACACTTCAAAAGCCCCCTATAGATCATCAGTTTAGTGTTACAGAGGAAGTCTGTTGCTACAAAAAGTCCCCTATCTGATGATTTTTTGGTGACCGGTTCTCTTTAATGAGTCATGCAGAGTGTTTTAGGCCCTGCTTGTCTCCTCTGGGCTCCACTCAATGTATTGCAATGCATTGCTTCACAGCTGTGCTAGTTGGTGAAAGTAACCGGTATCCCGGAAGTGACAAAAGAAAGAAGGGGAGGAGAGTGGACATGGGTCTGCTCTCCTCCCTCCCCTCCTGAAATGTTGGCCCTGGGCTCACGGATGAGCAAGCGGAGCCCGGAATACATGGCGGGGAGGCGCCGGTACCGTGGGTGTGTAGAAGCAATCGGGCGGCTGCTTCCACTCAACAGGCAGGAGTCTGCCTGTCCGTTTTAGACACAATTCCAGTGGCTACAGCCATTGGATTGCATGTAAACCCCCTCACCCCCCACCCGTCCGCTCCCCTCTATCAGGTCCGTACGACGTATGGACCTAGCAGCGAAGGGGTTTCTGGGTATCTAAACCCTATTGCTGCCACCACAATGTATGTCCTATGCATTCCACCCCTTACCATGTTTTCTATGCTCCACTGTCCCACTTGCAGACCCAGGACCAGCACAGCAGGACGGGAGACCAGCAGACATGCATTTACCGATCTCCCCTACCTAGTTAGAAACTGGAAATAATGTGTATTGTCACATCTGGGTTCCACTGTCACTTTCCTTGGCTGGTGAAGAAGCTAATGGAGCGTAGCTTGCACTTCACTAGCTTCACTGGAGGGCAGGTGAGATGTAGGGGTCTAATAAAACCCCTGATGTTTCATTAACCATTTGCCGCCCGCCCTATGGTCGAATGGTGGCCGGCAAATGTCATCAGCGTTCCGGGTGGGCGCCATAAGGCCTCCTCCCGCACATGCGCAGATTGTGCTCCGCGCAGCGGCGCGATCTGTCACCGGCCGTGTACCTCGGACACGGCCGATGACAGATCTGAGTATCAGCCCCCGTTGCCAGTACCATGTGACCTGCTGTGACCAATCACAGCAGGTCACATGACAGTTGTATACAATGGATGGCTTCATTCATGCCATCCATTGTATACTAGTGTCTAGCTGTGAATGGTCACAGCTAATCACATGCACATGTCATGTGATTAGCTGTGGCCAAATCGCAGCTAAGCACAAAAAAAAAAAAAAAAAACCCTGAATGAATCGATTTCATTCAGGTAAATGCTTGCTTATAGCAAAGTAATTCTTTGCTATGAGCAACTTGTGTAAAGAAAAAAAAAAATACTGATCACTTCCCCAAAGTAGTAGTGTTACTATGGTAACATTGTACTACTTTGGTCATAGTGAAATATGAAAAAAAAATCTTAAAAGAAAAAATAATTAATAAAAATAATAAAAAAAATATATATATTTTTTTTCCATACTGTCACCAGTCAGTGTCCCTGATCACCGCCATGCCAGTTATATGATGACGCTGTACTGCACTGGTGACAGTATGTAAAAAAAATAAATAAATAGTGAAACTAATTTTTTTTAATTTTTTAATTTTCCGAAAAATTATGACAAAAAAAATACAACTTCAAAAAACTCGCCATTCCTCTTATGAAGTACCACGGACTGTCTACTCTGCAAAAAGGGGTCATTTGGGGGATATCTGTACTGTCCTGACATTTTGGGGATATCTGTACTGTCCTGACATTTGGGGGATATCTGTACCGTTCTGACATTTGGGGGATATCTGTACCGTCCTGACATTTGGGGGATATCTGTACCGTCCTGACATTTGGGGGATATCTGTACCGTCCTGACATTTGGGGGATATCTGTACTGTTCTGACATTTGGGGGATATCTGTACTGTTCTGACATTTGGGGGATATCTGTACCGTCCTGACATTTGGGGGATATCTGTCCTGTCCTGACATTTGGGGGATATCTGTCCTGTCCTGACATTTGGGGGATATCTGTCCTGTCCTGACATTTGGGGGATATCTGTACTGTCCTGACATTTGGGGGATATCTGTACTGTCCTGACATTTGGGGGATACCTGTACCGTCCTGACATTTGGGGGGATACCTGTACCGTCCTGACATTTGGGGGGATACCTGTACCGTCCTGACATTTGGGGGATATCTGTACCGTCCTGACATTTGGGGGATATCTGTACCGTCCTGACATTTGGGGGATATCTGTACCGTCCTGACATTTGGGGGGATATCTGTACTGTCCTGACATTTGGGGGATATCTGTACCGTCCTGACATTTGGGGGGATATCTGTACTGTCCTGACATTTGGGGGATATCTGTACTGTCCTGACATTTGGGGGATATCTGTACCGTCCTGACATTTGGGGGATATCTGTACTGTTCTGACATTCTTGGACCTCAAGAAATTAGATTGGCCGTCAGTACTTCAGGATTGATCAATTTTCAGATCTATACCATAGTTTGTGAACTCTATAACTTTCCTACAAACTAAATAATATATCCTAATTTGGGTTATTTTCACCAAAGACATGTAGCAGAATACATCTCGGCCTAAATTTATGAAGAACAATTATTTATTTGCAAACTTTTTATAACAGAAACAAAAAAGTGTTTTTTTTTTTTCAACATTTTTGGTCTTTTTTTGTTTAGCAAAAAATAAAAAACCCAGCGGTGATTAAATACCACCAAAAGAAAGCTCTAGTTGTGTGAAGAAAATAATAAAATTTTAGTTTGGGTACAATGTTGTATGACCGCGCAATTGTCATTCAAAGTGTGAGAGCGCTGAAACCTGAAAACTGGCCTGGGCAGGAAGGTGTAAAATTGCCCGGTATTGAATTGGTTAAAGACCACCTATCACAGCTGTCAGATGAAGGTAAAGTTGCATCTCAGTAGGGTGATTACGTTAGGGTTAAAGTGGTTGTAAATCCTCACATATACCCAGTGAAGTGACTGGGCTCAGGTGATACAGAGACATGAAAGAAATCCTCCTACATAAGTTGTACTTGTCAATCCCCTACATCCATTCAAAGTGTAGAATCAGGAAAACTCATCGGAAGTGACTCATGCTGATAGAGAAACAAAGCAGCAAACAGAAATGACACTTAGTGCTCTGGACTGAAACAAGTACAAACTATAGAGGGATATGCTTTGTTCGCATTTCATGTCTGAGGTTTACAACCACTAGGGCAAAAGGGAAAAACACTTTATTTTAAAGTACACTCAACCTTTTTAAAATCTCCTTTTGCATTGTGTTTGTTTTCTGATGCCGTTTTACATTCTTCATGTGCTGTGTGCTTTTTGCAGGGTATGGACGATCCACAGGTTCGAAGTGCAGCCACTGATATATTCTCATATCTGGTGGAATATAACCCATCTATGGTCCGTGAATTTGTAATGCAGGAAGCTCAGCAAAATGATGATGTAAGTCATTCTGTTGTCTTTAAACGTGTTTCATGTATTCACTTAATATGTACTAAAACAGAACTCCTGGCAAATATTGAACAAGATTCCCTTTATTGCAGTTATGTATTGGTTAAAACGTTTGTTTTCTGCTAGTAATATTTTAAATGTGTAACATATAAGGTGCGTTATACATCTGAAATTAGGCTTCAGCTACGAACCAGTACATAGCACAGTGCTGTCATTTTAACATGTTTCAAGCACTGGGGGTAGCATGGGGAGGTGAGTGACATGGCAAGCTCCATGAAGACATAATCATTACTGTGATTAAAGTCCAATGTCCATTTGGGTGTATGGAGGCAGAAGGAGTTCCCTCCCAATCTGAAATAAACAGACAAATAACAGCAGAAAAAGACAGAATAGTCCATCAAGTCTGCTCGTTTTTGTTTTTTTTCCATGTTTGTGTGTTTTGTTTTTGTTTTGTTTTTCGGGGGGGGGGGGGGGGTTAGTGTCCTTTTTTTTTGTGTTTTTTTTTTTTTTTTTGTCATGTAAGGAAAGCAGAGAGGAGTTGGATTCTTGCAACCCACCTCCAGAACATTGGTAGCCTCTGCTGTGTGTTGCTGTATGAAATGAAATGTTGTAAGCAGCTCTGTGCACAGTGCTTGTAGTGGCCTTTCAGGATCCATCTTATACGGCTCAGAATCCAATTATGTAACCTTGTTTCTAAGGGCCCGTTCACACTAGGAACTGCATCTGAATCACACAGGAATGCTGTGCGGTTCCTGTGTGATTCACTTGCAGTTCTGTGTAGTGCGGTTTTAGCCCCATTCATCTTGAATAGGCAGAAATCGCATCACACCAAAAGTAGCGCATGTACTACTTTTTGAAGCACACGGCAACAACATTGCATGGTACTTCTGTACCATGCAATCCGGTGAGGGCAAATGCACTGCTTTTGCAACCTGCATTTGTGGTGTTGATAACTTTGCACTAACATCCACAGCAGATCGCAAGGGCAGTGCGAGTAGAATGCGGTGGGGGAAGCCGCACAGGAGCGCTTTCCCGCACTGCATTCTAGTGTGAACAGGCCAGGTTACCAATCCTATGCTCCTAGCAGTAATTGTAAATAATATATACCTACCGGCCACTATATTAAGTACACCTTGCTAGTGCCAAGAAAATCTCCCCCACACCATGACACCACCACCACCAGCCTGGACCATTGATACAAGGCAGGATGGATCCATCATACCATAACACTACCACCACCAGCCTGAACCATTGATACAAGGCAGGATGGATCCACCACACCATGACACCACCACCACCAGCCTGAACCATTGATATAAGGCAGGATGGATACCCCACACCATGACACCACCACCACCAGCCTGAACCATTGATACAAGGCAGGATGGATCCCCCACACCATGACACCACCAGTCTGAACCATTGATACAAGGCAGGATGGATCCACCACACCATGACACCACCACCACCACCACCACCAGCCTGAACCATTGATACAAGGCAGGATGGATCCCCCACACCATGACACCACCAGTCTGAACCATTGATACAAGGCAGGATGGATCCACCACACCATGACACCACCACCACCACCACCACCAGCCTGAACTATTGATACAAGGCAGGATGGATCCCCCACACCATGACACCACCACCACCAGCCTGAACCATTGATACAAGGCAGGATGGATCCCCCACACCATGACACCACCACCAGCCTGAACCATTGATACAAGGCAGGATGGATCCCCCACACCATGACACCACCAGCCTGAACCATTGATATAAGGCAGGATGGATCCCCCACACCATGACACCACCACCACCAGCCTGAACCATTGATACAAGGCAGGATGGATCCCCCACACCATGACACCACCACCAGCCTGAACTATTGATACAAGGCAGGATGGATCCCCCACACCATGACACCACCACCATCAGTCTGAACCATTGATACAAGGCAGGATGGATCCACCACACCATGACACCACCACCACCAGCCTGGACCATTGATACAAGGCAGGATGGATCCCCCACATCATGACACCATCACCACCAGCCTGGACCATTGATACAAGGCAGGATGGATCCATGCTTTCATGTTGTTTACACCAAATTCTGATCCTACCATCTGAATGTCTCGGCAACCAGTCCGCCCATTCTCCTCTGACATCAACAAGGCATTTTCCTCCACACAACTGCCGCTCACTGGATATTTTCTCTTTTTGGGAAAATTCTCTGGTTATGTGCGAAAATCCCAGTAGATCAGCAGTTTTTGAAATACTCAGATCAGCCCGTCATGCCACGTTCAAAGTCACTTAAATCCTTTCTTCCCCATTCTGATGCTCAGTTTGAACTTCAGCAAGGCGTCTTCATCACGTCGAGTTGCTGCCATGTGATTGGCTGATTAGCAATTTGTGTTACCAAGCAATTGAACAGGCGATACCTAATAAAGTGGCCGGTGAGTGTATATATATTTTACGATGCATATAATTTTTAACTTAAATGTATCTTCTCTTTAGGACATCCTTCTAATCAATCTCATCATTGAACATATGATCTGTGACTCTGATCCTGAGCTGGGTGGCGCTGTACAGCTAACGGGACTGTTACGGACATTAGTAGATCCAGATAACATGCTTGCAACTACCAGCGTAAGAAATAAATCGGTTTGAACACTGTTTACATGGAATCATTTTAATTCTTTCTTCTTCTGCCATTTGTTTTCTGTTCTTTGTCTTCCTGTTCCCTGGGTTTATGACACTCATTTTTTTTTCTTTTCTGTACTGTTTAAAACGGACCTTGCCGTAAAATGTATGCTTTGTTCACATTGCTCAAGCCCGTTCTTCACAAATCCCTTACTGTTAGGTGTAAATTTACATCATCGTCATGTAAAGAAAAAATGTAGATTTATACTTGTCTTACCCGCATCTTCCACATTGCTAGGCCCGACGCCCCCATCCTTCCTGGAAGATTCCAGGGGAATGCAGAGCAGGAGAAACTTCATGAGAAGGCAACCCAGTCCATGGCAAGAGCATCTTCTGATGAGAGTTTGGCTGCTCTGTATTTCCTAGGATCAAGCTGAATGAGGTGTGACATCCTCCTCCTAAGGGTCCTGGTGAAAGTCAGAGTAGAGACCGTCATAAACATTACATTTTTTAGTTTACAGGTACATTTTAATCTTCTGGCAGCTGATTTGGGAAGAGGGGGCCTGCTCAGTGCTTAAGAACTTGGTTTTCATTAACAACTTGCGGACCAGTGACGTACCCATGCATCGCTGGACTTTCCGTGGTTGTACCGGGATGATCTCTGCAGCTGCAGGCATCACCCCCTTATAATTTTTTGGAGCACTTTGATTGGCTCTCTTGTAAAAGGATTCAGAGCGTCTTACTAGCAGTGGGAGGGGACATTTCCCCCCCCCCCCCCACCCCCCCCCCCCCCCCCCCCCCCCCCCCCCCCCCCCCCCCACCCCCCCCCCCCCCCCCCCCCCCCCCCCTCTCCCGTCACCTTTCCCCGTCCCACAGGGAGACCTGAATGACCAGCTGGCTTGTCTGATCCTGGCTTTGTTCGGCTTTTCCTTATAGCGACTCGGAAGCGATGACCTGACCTGACTTCCGGTTTACTCTGCACTAAATAGTGGCATTTAAAAAAAAAAAAATTAACGCTTTCAAATACCACAATGTTAGTACTTTGAATGCTTTTGAATGTAAAAGAGGAATTTGGGGGTCTTACTGACCCCAGCTTCCTCCATAAAGAGTACCTGTCACATGTCTATTGCAGGAAAAAAGCAAGAAAGGCCGTACACTCCTTGTGCATTACCGTAATAAAAAAGTATTTATTGAAAATGACAAAAGTGTATACTCACAAACCAAGAGTCGTAAATAAAAGCAAGGAACCAATGTGACAGTCCAAGCAAATGGTGGTCTTGCGACAGGGGTGTGGTAACGTGTCTTGGGAGACGAGCTCCCTTCCTCAGAGCTCTGTCTATTGCAGTCACAAGGGATGTTTTACTTTTTCTTATGACAGCAATAAAAAAAAAAAAATAAAGCTACTGTGTAAAAAATTAGAAAAAAACATGTAAAGTACCACCTCCTTGGTGCAGAAAGGCGACGCGCGTCGGACCCGCATGTACACAAACAGCGATCGTCCCACACATGAGGTATACTTGTGAATGTCAGATCACGGGCAGTCATTCTAGCACCAGACCACCTCTGTAAGTCTAAAGTGGTAACCTGTAGAGGCTTTTAAAGCATCGACTATGGATAGTACAATTTACATTGTTTGTCGCTGTTGCGTTGCACGGGCGAGGGCAATTTTAAAGCGTGACGTGTTTGGTATCTATTTACTTGGCATAACATCATCTTTTATATTTTACAAAAAAAAATTTATTTTTTTTTTGTTTTTTTTTTTTTTTGGTTTTTGTTTTGTGTTTTTGGGGTTTTTTGGGGGTTTTTTTTTGTTAGTATTTTTATTTTTTTTGCATTTAAAATACCAAAAATTTTGAAAGACCGCTGCGCAAATACCGTGTGACATAAAACTGAAAAACCTACCATTTTATTATTTAGGGCCTCTGCTTTAAAAAATATATGATGATCCAAGATTCCTTAGGGTTTGGGAACTTGGATACATTATTCCATGCCATCCCTGCCTCCTAGTTATGGCCTCTTATAGTCGCTGCCTGTGCTAGCCCTGGATCCGTGATTCTTCTAGTTTCTCTTTCCTCCATGTTTTTTTTCTGATTCCTTTTTTTTTTGTTGTTTTTTTTTTTTTTTTTTTGTCGTCTTATGTTCTTTATCCTTTCCTCTAACCATTTTTCTTTTTTCTTCTTTTTCCGGTACTATGTTGGATTACTGCTGCTATTTGGTTCGGCTTTTTGCCGTCCCTCCTTGATGTCATTTGTCATTGGACGTTTTTTTATTTGGCTACTACAAGTCAGCGGGATGTATCTGTTTATTGTGTTGTTTTGCTCTGCCCCTGCATGGGCGTATCTTGAGCTTGTTATATTCCTAAAACAAAACTTTCTTAATAAAAATATTGAGACAGAAAAAATATATAATGTTTTGGGGGTTCTAACTAATTTTCTAGCAAAAAATTTTGATTTTTACATGTAAACAAAAGTGTCAGAAAAAAGGTCAAGTAGTTAATGTTAGGAACAGGTTTTAAAGGACAGTTTCATCTAAACTAAATTGAACCCATTCCACCAGCCCCCTTCCCTCCAACTGTTTTATGATCAGAGCAAGGTCACTTCAGTCGCTTCATCTTACTGTGCCAAGCCTTTACAGTTTATGCTGTTAATTTTTTTTTTTTTTTTTCCCCCCTCTTAGAAAACGGAGAAAACAGAATTTTTGGGATTCTTCTACAAGCATTGCATGCATGTCCTCACTGCCCCCTTACTGGCCAACACTACAGAGGAAAAGCCCAGCAAAGGTCAGAGGTCACTTTGGGGAGTGCTGTAGGGGGTTGTGTTACACTGAGGATCTCTGCCTCTTATGTCATAGTTTAGTACATTTTTTTCACATCCTTAGCAGGTCAGTAAACCTTGACTGCATTGTGGCTGAAAAGTTAGCGTTCTTATTCCTTGCTTGCTAGCAATCAAAACCTGATGAACTCCAAACCTTTTCTATTCTTGGCTGTATTGGGGTTTTAGCTGCTAGAGTTTTTTTACTCCCTTGTTTTTTAACCTCTTCACGCCGACAGTATGCAAATATTCAGCATCTGGGCCTTGACGCCGAGCTGCCGCCTATTTGCGTACTATTTGTAAACAAACATGCACTGAGAGCGCACACCCTGCCCGCTCCCAGCACATGTGTCGGCGTCCCATGGAAAGATCCATATCTCTCCTTGTGATCTGGACCTTTCCGATCATGTGACTGCCATGACAGCCAATCATGACGGTCACATGACCCTAAACCTCACCCCGCCTCCCAGCATCAGAAACCCCTTAAAGGGCTGGGAGGCACCGGCGTGAAGGGGTTAAAGATGATATATAGCCCCGGAGCCCAACCTATTTCCCCCGAAACCCTTGCAGACGGTAGCATGTGAGTGAGCAATAATATTCTTTAGAATGTCTGTTGATGCTGAACTCAGGCCTTACCTTCCCTATTGCACGGTTGTACCGACGGCTCTCCTGGACTGAAAAGGCTTACTCTGATTTTGCAGCACACTGTGAGCTTCTTGCAATGTACATTAGAAGCTGCAGCAAGTAAGGGTCCGCCTTATTTCCTGGCCCACCCCTTTCATTCATTGGATTTCAATGTTTTCATTCAATAAGGCTCAGGAACGCATGGGCATTACCGCAGCTTCCTCATTTTAGGAAGCAATGTACAGCACCCTGCCAGCCCCTCCCGCCAGCCATGATCTTGTCTGTACAGAGAGCACAGAGACCTAGGGGCAGCCCTTCTCACTACAGTAAAAGTGATTGGGTAGCTGTAGAGCTGCCCGGATCACATTTACTAAACAGCTGATCACTAGCTAAAAAAAAATATATATATATCAAGCCATATAATTATTTGAACAAAGGACGTTTTTGCATGTTCTGAGGTCAAACGTCAGCTTCAAGGACCAGTTCACACCAGAATTGCACAGGAACACAGTCCAGTGTGTGCGCCTACAGTGCGATTCAAACAAATGGGCTGCAAATTGCACCAGAACACACAAAAAGTAGTGCATGCGCAACTTTTGCAAACGCTGCTCGCCATGTGAACCACTGCAGTACCATGCGATCTGGTGCCCACAAGCTCACTGTGCTTTTTGGTCTGGGGTGTCATTAACAATGCGTTGGCACCCGCAGCTGATGGCAAAAGCAGTGGGTTTTGAACGCAGTACTGAAAACACGCACTAGGCACTCCTTTCCTGCACCGTTCTGGTGTGAACCGGCCCTAACTGCTATGGTTTTCTTTCCCGTTTTGTTTTTCTCTTTGTCCTTTTTTCTATGAATATGTTTTTTACTACAAATCTTGCAATCTGTTTACAGTTTAACTTTTCCCAGTGCCCAACACCTTTTATAGTATGAAAAGAAAATGTATGTACGAGCGCATCTATAAAATAGCAGCTGAACATTAGGTACCATACACCCTAAAAACAATATAAATCATAAGATGCAGCGCTACAGAGCCAAAATGTTAAAATAGAAGCGAATAAATGCATCAAATAAATAAATCAATACTAGATGACTGGACAGATGCAACAGTTCATAGAGTAAGGTGACTTTTCGTGCTCTCCTCTATTTCATATCCTCCTGATGCTAAGGCGTTGTGCAAAATAGTGCTGAAGAAATGCACACTCACCAGAACGCACAGGAAAATGAGCGTTTGTCAGTATAGATTTTCCTTAGACTCATCAGCTGGTCAGGATGTGGTAGTATGATAGCCTCCTTCCAGAGCTCCTGAATATTCCTGTGCAGTCCCTTGATAGGTGGCCTGTGGACTTCTCCTTAAGGCTTACATGCGTTTCTTACCCGGCAGAGAGATGAGTGACTGAAATGGATACTCCCCAAGGGAGTCAAAACAAAAACGTATCCATAGTGTAGTAATTAAAAGAGGATTTATTTAAACAACAGATGTCCGTGATACACAGCAGTGTATATGAAAATGTGGACTGACCGTCCAATGGTAAAGATGGCCGCCGGAGCTCCACGATGCTCCAGCGGCGTGACGTCACGGCGTTCCTGGCTCCTCCAAAGGAGGTCAGTCACTCATCTCTCTGCCGGGTAAGAAACGCATGTAAGCCTTAAGGAGAAGTCCACAGGCCACCTATCAAGGGACTGCACAGGAATATTCAGGAGCTCTGGAAGGAGGCTATCATACTACCACATCCTGACCAGCTGATGAGTCTAAGGGGAATCTATACTGACAAACGCTCCTTTTCCTGTGCGTTCTGGTGAGTGTGCATTTCTTCCGCACTATTTTGCACAACGCCTGAGCATCAGGAGGATATGAAATAGAGGAGAGCACGAAAAGTCACCTTACTCTATGAACTGTTGCATCTGTCCAGTCATCTAGTATTGATTTATTTATTTGATGCATTTATTCGCTTCTATTTTAACATTTTGGCTCTGTAGCGCTTTACCTTTTATAGTATGTGTAGTCTTCGCTTTCCATAATGTCATTCAGTGAATATTTTGTGCAGCCCTTTGGTCATGTGAGGGGCAATACTTGAGGCCTCAAATATATTTGGCAACTCTTGTTACATATGTACATTTTCGAAATCCTGTAATGTTATGTATACATCTGTAATGGTATTTCAGAGTGTTTGATCTGCACGGTGTCACGTGTTCTGCTTCCTTCTCAGATGACTTCCAGACGGCACAGCTGCTGGCACTGATCTTGGAGCTGCTGACATTCTGTGTTGAACATCACACGTACCACATAAAGAATTACATCATCAACAAGGACATCCTGCGCAGAGTGTTGGTCCTCATGTCTTCTCTGCACTCTTTTCTGGCCCTGTGTGAGTTTCTCAGACATGTCTGTGTCCTGGTGTTACAGAAACAATATATTGCAGCTGCAGGCACCATCCTGGTACCTGAATTGCTTTTACAGGCGGGGGAAGAAGGTCCCTCCTGCTCCCCACCCCCTTTCCCATGCTCGCCCATCCCACTGGGGAACCCAGGATTGCAGCCGACAGTTCTGCTGGCCGACCAGTGAACTTCTGGTTCTCCATGATTTCTATGAAGATATCTAAGAAATCAGAAGCGACGAATATTTAGTCACTTTTGGTTTTGGCTGTGTGTTTGCTGGCCATGTGCCTGATCAGCTGCTTTGAAGGCCAGATGAGAGGTCCTGGGGTCTAACAGACGCCAGATTGCTCTATGAAGAGTACCTGTCACTGCCTATTATTGTCACAAGGGATGTTTACATTCCTTGTGACCGCAATAAAAGTGATAAAAAAAATATATATATAAATTTACCACTTTACCTCCGCCCTATAGCAGTTTTACTGCTACAGGGAGTCATTCCTGTGCAAAGTCACGTGTATTTGTGATTTTGCACTTCCACCATAGGGGGGTGCAGGTGTGCTGCCAGAGGATCGCTTCTGCTGTGAAATGCTGAATTCACTGCAGAGTTCAGTGAGCAGAGTTCTGAGAGCTGATTTGGAGTTAAGAGACACCCCCCTTCACACAGCATACAGAAGCAGAGCTGAGGCTGTCGGTCAGTGTCTGTGTGTTGGCGCTTTCTCCCCGTCACCATTTTTCTCTTGGTGTCTGGAAAACCTGTCAGAAGTGACTCATGCTGATAGCAGAGGAATGAAGCAGCAAACAGAAATGACACTTAGTACTCTGGAATGAGACAAGTACACACTATAGAGGGATATGCTTTGTTCATATTTCATGTCTGAGGTTTACAACCACTTTAAATGTGAATCTGCCATCTGATATTGAAATGTTACAATATTTTAAAAGGACAAGTTCACCTTTGGGAACGTGTTACATGTTCCACATGTTTTGGGTGGAATATATAACATGTTCTTATAACTGCAGCCGCGCCTGCCGCCCTCCCTCCTCTGACAGATAGGTAGTACGGAGAAACTTCTCCCCGTACTATCAGATTTGAAAATGGCGCGGCCGTGAATCAGTGCCTACAAGTCTCGGCAGCCTTAGCGGCTGTCGGCTTGTAGTTGTCAATGGACTACCATGGTGCTGTGAAGCGCTGTGGTAGTTCATTGAAGCTTTCTGTTAGAATATCTGCTTGCCCATACATCCCGTACTGCAAGCAGATATTCTGACAGGTCTGCAGGAGACCTGCATGGCATCAGCTTTCTACTGATCCCTGGTGCAATGCTTTCCAGGCTCCTGCAAACAAAATTAGTAAATGCGCATTTTTTTTTTAACCTGTCAAAAAAAAAATATCCTTTTAAGTCTCATTTGAAAGTCAATTGTATTTAAAAAAATGTTTGTACATTTTACAAAATTGAACATTTGTAAAAAAAATGTCCCTTTTTTTTTTTTTTTTTTTTTTTTTTTTTCAAATTTGAAAAAAAAATTTGACCCAGCCATTTTAGTTTTGAAATAAAACCTGTGGAATTGAGTCACAGAAAGTGGAAGAGTTGATTGTTCCTTTTATGCTTCCTTCCTTGTTCCCTTCTTGCCCTCCCAACTTTTCTTTTTTTATTCTTCACATATTAACCCCTTGACGCCGACTGCACGCAAATTCACGGCCTCACAGAACTGGGCTTTTTTCCGTGGGGCCGCTAATTTGTGTACCTGTCTTTGTGCTGAGCGCACAGCGCGCTCCCAGCACAAAGAGCGGGATGTCCCTGAGAGCCCCAGGTCCCATTCTAACTTACGATTCCGAGTCACCTGATCGCTGTGATAGCCTCTGATTGGTATCACAGTGATCAGTCAGAAGTTTGTTTGTTTTTTTTTGTTTTTTGTCTTTTTTTTTTTTAAATTGGTGTCAGTGGCAGGATAGAAAACAACAAATAACATACACATATATGGTATTGCTGCTATCGCCAGGAGCTGGAGAAATTATTTTGGGTTGATTTTTGGTGGTAGGTTTTGGTAGTAGCAAGAAATATACAGCTAAATTCAAATGTTTTGGGTTTTTTTTTTGGCCCAGTTTTCCTTTGGTAATGAAAAAAAAAAAAAATCAGGAGATATCCATTACCATTTACCACCAAATAGAAGCCCAATTTGTCCAAAAAAAAAAAAAAAAAAAAAGGTATAATCCACCTGGATGCACAAAGTAGTTTTGATATGTACGGTTATGCGAACACTTGTCAAAGTTGCAAAATTGTGCTTGGGCGTTAAGATTTGTTTTACCTTTTAGGCAAGAAGGGGTTGAGTTGTGATTACAAAACACACTTTTACACAATGCCTTATGATGTTCCAACAGGTGCGCTGCGGTTTATGCGGAAGATTGTTGGTCTGAAGGACGAATTCTACAACCGATACATAGTGAAAAGTTTCCTGTTTGAACCTGTAGTGAAAGCCTTTCTCAATAACGGATCCCGGTATAATCTCCTGAACTCCGCCATCATTGAGATCTTTGAATTTGTGCGTGTGGTGAGTCTCACACGTTTTCGGTTATTTTGTTTTTCCAGTGATGGTCTCCCGTCAGCACATGTGCTTTGCAGCACAGCTTTGATTGGCTTTTAGTAAACCTTTTCTGTACAGAGAATCACAGGAGGCTAATATAAAGCCAAACATGGTTACTTAAAGGATGGGTTCACCTTTTGACAAAAAATTGTAAATAGACATTTTTTTTTTTTTTTTTGCAGGTAAAAAAAATGTGCATTTATTGTTTTTCGTTGCTGGATCCTGTAAAGCATTGCACCAGCGATCAGCAGATTGCTGCTGCCATGCAGGTCTCCTGCAGACCTGCCAGTAGATATACTGACAAGAAGAATCATTCAATTACCATTGTACTCCACGGCAACAGTGCAGCTCATTGAGAACTACAAGCCGACAGCCACTCTGTGAGTGAAAGACTCGACCATGTAGGCGGAGCCCCGCACGGCTGCGATGTTTTTAAGAAGTGACAGCTTTTTCCTGTCCTGCTGTCTCGGGGGTTGTATTGGACAGCGGCTGCAGCATTGGAACATGTTCAATCCTAAAAACGGGTGGAACATGTAACATGTTCTCAGAGGTGAACTTATCCATTAAAATGGTTCTAAAGCCTTAAGGTTTTCCACCGTAGTGCATTCTGTGCATTAAGGTGAAAATCCCATCTGAGCTGCGGGATCCCCCCTTATACTTGCCTGAGCCCAATTCAATCCAGCGATGTGCACCAAAGCTGCGTCTCTCCCTCCTCCCTGGGCAGATTGATAACAACTGGAGCTGCAGTCAATCGTGCTGTGCTGAGCCAGCAGGGAGGACAGAGCCGTGTCAATGGACGCAGAGAGGGAGGCTCGGGAGCGAGCCCGCACAGGTGCCCCTTGGAAAGCGGCTTTCCATGGGTGCCCTACTGAAGAGGAGCATCCTGTAGCACTGGCAGGGGACCCCAAAATAGGAGGATTCAGGCTGCTCTGTGCAAAACCATTGCACAGAGCAGGTAAGTATACCTTGTTGCTTTAAACCAGTTAAAGGGTATCTATAGCCACAATTTTATTTAAAAAAATTTGTAGAAACCGAATCCCTGACTTGAATTTAAATGCTGGACACTGAGGTGACTCAAACATTGGGGACCACTATAGTTGGAAATCCTGCTCTACCCTGCAACTAGAATACCACCTCCCCTCCTCCAAATGCTAAGTGGGTCATTGTTTAGCTGAAAGCTCTCATCTGCTAGGCTCATTACCTATTAAAGTCAGTCAATACCTTCATTCAGAATCTGCATTCTGAAAGGCATTGTTCCTATTTTATAATCTTATGCAAAGTAAATTTGTATTCACTAAATCTACTCCCCTTAGAAAATGGGAAAATGATCTTGGAACGAACTTTGCAGAAACACAGTGGACTGCGGATTTAAGCCGTGGTTCACACTGAATGCGACTTTGTGCTACTTCACCTGAAGTTGCAATTTGTAAATTGCATGTCGCTTCTCAATTCACACCAGGGTGAACCAGGGCTTAGGGCAGTTTATAAAGCCACGTGCTGCTCTACACTGGGGGTCAGCAACCTGTAGATTGCAATCTAGCAGAAGATTTGAGCCATGTGACTGGTAATCGCGGTCTGGGCTTCATGACCCGCCCTCCTAGAGCATCAGAGTGCAGAGGTGAAGGACTACTTGTAAAGTTGGAGAGTAGTAAGGAGGAAGAGCCACATAAGTCGATGTCTCCTCTGTAGTGCCGGCTCCTGTTCCATGCGGAGTGACACTAACTGCGCTCCACCTCTTATACCGGTTAGCGGTCTCCAGAGGTGCCAGCAGGAGGAAAGAAGAGATCTTCAGGTCAGTGTGACTCAATACACTGGGCAGAATAGTATAAGGCTGCTTTCACACTGATGTGCTGCGGTTTACCCACACTGTGAGTGCAGTTGCAGTGTACCTGCAGATTTTAGCTGTAGACTTCCATTATATCCTGCAGGTGTAGTGTACTTTCTGAAAGCGCACCAAAACTCCTGAATGTATTGTATGCTTTCAGAAAGTACACCACGCCTGCAGGATAAAATAGAAGTCTGTGACAAAAGCACAGCTAACCCAAAAAAGTTGCAGATGCACTGCGCTGCACCCGCAGTGTGGGTAAACCGCAGCTCACCAGTGTGAAAGCAGCCTTATAGGGGGCTCAGAACAGTAAGGGTTCATTTACATTTGCAGGTTGGGAGATGGTAAAACCCTGTAGTCAACCTCTTCCCCCACACTCTATAGCAGAAGTACTGCTACAGGGTGGCAGGGCTGCCCAAAATCACGTGTGTGTATATATACGTGATTTTGTATTTCCGGGTAGGGGACGCGTGCCGCCATTGGCGGCTACAGCCATTGATCACCGGGTCCTGGCCGGAGATTCCCCACCAGCATCCGGCGATCGCCGAGGAACAATGACGGGAGAGGTCTGCATGTAAACAATACAGATCTCTCCCCTGTCAGCACCAGCATGCTGCTTTGTATTGCTCTGCATTGCAGAGCAATACAAAGCAGAATGCTTACATAGTAAAGCACACAGCAAAATACACACAGCACACAGTTAACCTTTTGATCGCCCCAGATATCAACTTTATCCTGCTCAGTGCCAATAGTACAGTGTCAGTGCTTTCTTTAGCACTGATCACTGTATTGGTGTCAGTGGCAGTTAGTCAGCTCCCCAAAGTGTCAGAATGCCCATCACAGTCCCTCTATAAGTCGCTGATTGCTGCCATTACTTGTAAAAAAAAAAACAAAATCCCAGTATATATACCGCCATTTGTAAACGCTATAACTTTCATGTAAACCAATTAATTTACACGTATTGGAAATTTTTTTAAGCAAAGACTAGACATGGAGCAGAATACATTTTGGCCTAAATTTATGACAAAATTAGTTTTTGTTTTTTTTTTTAACATTTTTTTTTTTTTTTTTTTACTGGGTATGTCTTATAGCAAAAAGTAAAAAAAAACATTTTTTTTTTTTTTCAGTGCAATTGTTTTTTTATAGCGCAAAAAATAAAATCGCAGAGGTGATCAAATACCACTGAAAGAAAGCTCTATTTGTGGGGAAAAAAGGACCTAAATTTCATTTGGGTGCAACGTTGTATGACTGCAATTGTCAAAGTAACGCAGCGCTGTATCGCTGTCAGGATGGAAGGAAAAATCCTCAGGAGGGCAAGAGGTTAAGATATGTTTATTACCACTCCCACCCCAACCATACCCCCTTTAGCTGCAGTGGTCAGGGGTGTACACATGCCGCAGCAGGAGTTATTCACCCTGTTGTGGTTGGTGGGTGTAGCACCTGTCCAGCATGACCCATTAAAATGATTGAGGCCACCCTGCAACCTTGTGCAGTACAGCACACAAGGGGTTAAAGCAGGCAGCGTTGTGTTGCTTTCTCACCACCTGCTTTAACCCCTTGGACCCCACAGAAGCATGCAGTGGTGGGGCAGTTGCAGAGTGGCCCAATTTTCTTGTATGGGCACGATCGGCAGATGGTAGCACCCACCAAAAGCAACGGGGTTTAATTCCTGCCGTGCCATGTGTACACCTTTGGATGCTGCCTCAGCAGCTAAAGGGGGTAGTCATTAGGGTAAAACTGCCACTCAACTGCAGGGTTTTACCACCACCTCCATTGTTGTCTGAACGAGCCTTGAGGGTGCCACTGTTGAATGCAGCTAAGGACTCATTCACAAGTGCAGCAGGCACTGCTGCTCCTCCTGAAAGGTGATCAGAATGTGTTTGACAGGTGGTGTGAAGACAATTGGTTGCCTCCTCACCTGCTGATATATACCCTTGATTGCTATGCAATGCACGCGATTGCGACACAGTAGTACGACAATTAGAGGTTTAAATCATGTTTGAGGAGGCGACAGTGTGCCCTGTGATCTTTGACTTCTCCCAAGTTGTTCAGGTAGTTCACCTCCTTAAGGTTGCCTACCCCTGCCTTACACTATGGGAACTTACCCAAGAAATGTAATATGAGATGGTTCTTAAAGCAGAACCACGCTGTATCTGAGCACCACAAAACTAAAACCACTTTTTAATTCATTTTTAATATTAAAAGCAAACTCCCCCATCCATCCTTGTCCCCATGCTTTATTTTGCTGAGAAATCACTTGGAATCATTCTTCAGTGATTGATCAAAGTCTTCTTATTTACAGGAGGATGTTAAGTCGCTAACGGCTCATGTCATTGAAAATTACTGGAAAGCTTTGGAAGACGTGGATTATGTACAGACGTTTAAAGGTCTCAAACTAAGATATGACCAGCAGCGGGAGAGACAGGACAACCCCAAGCTTGACAGGTTTGTCACCTCCCAGCATCCCTCCATGTTAGGGATCACATAAAATGTTTGTCCTTTGTTTGACAGCTGTGTATGCAAATCCGGCGTGTGTTCAGCTGAGATATCGGCCTGCGACTTGCTGATCATCTTGTATAGCATTGCAACTTCCATGCATGTTACAGCACAATATTGTGTCGTTGTGGCCGCAAACACCAAGTTGAGCCTGGCTTGGCAGCTCAGAAATCTGGCTCTGGAATCAGGGAAGTCTTCCTTTCTGTCTTTTGGAAGATCCTCAAGGAGGAGGATAGGCCCGTCAGGCTAAAGAGGATTCCTCGGTATCACTGTGATGGTGCACGAGACTTGGTTATAGGAGTCCTTTCCCCCAATCAATAGCCTGGAAATTCGGGGCAGTTTCGCTGTCTGCAGCTTTGGATTTTGCTACTGGAGGGTCATCCGATCTGGATTTAGTCAGACAAGGTAATAGCAGTTGTGCACATCAACCATCAAAGAGGAACCAGAAGTATATTGAATACCTGTCATAGGCAGAACATCACATTCCAGCATTGTCTGCTGTCTCAGATTTAGACAATTGCTGGGCACATTTCCTCAGACAATAATGTCAGGGCAATGACCAAGCCCCAGGGGTGGGGCAAAATGCTTTAGGAGGCACGTCTATCAGGAATAGCTGAGGCTTCTCTTCACATCTCATACACTTAAAGCCCCCCCCCCCCCCCCTTCCTGACCAGGCCATTTTTTGCGGCACAGGGCTGCATTACTTTAACTGAAATTGCGCGGTCATGCAACGCTGTACATAAATGAAATAATTTTTTTTCCCCACAAATAGAGCTTTATTTTGGTGGTATGTGGTTTTTTTTTTGTGGTTTTTTTTATTTTTTTGCGCTATAAACAAAAAAAATAAAAAAGGCCATTTTGAAAAAAAAACTGTATTTTTTACTTTTTGCTATAAAACCTATCCAATAAAATGTAAACAGTCAAATTTTGTCATAACTTTAGGACAAAATGTATTCTGCTCCATGGCTTTGCTAGAAAAAAAACCAAAAATCTAAATACGTGTGAATTAATTAGTTTACGTGACAGTTATAACATTTACAAATGGCGATATATATATTGGAATTTTAATTTTTATTTATATTAGTAATGGCAGCGATCCACGACTTATAGCGGGACTGCGGCGGGCATTCTGACACTGGGGGGGGGGGGGGGGGGGGAACTGACTAACTGACATCCCCAGTGACACAAATACAGTGATCAATGCTAATAAAAAGCACTGACACTGTACTAATGGCACTGGGCGGGAAGGGGTTAACATCTGGGGCAATCAAAGGGTTAACTGTGTGCTGTTTTACTAGAGAGACATGCTGTGCAGAGAGATACAGAGCAGCATGTCCTTGCTGACAGGAAAGAGACCTGTGTTTGTTTACACACAGGTCTCTCTCCTGTCAGCTTTCCCCAACAATCGCTGAGTGCCAGCTGGGACCCGGTGATTGATTTCTCTAGCCGCCAATATACATGATTATGCGCCGCCCTGTAGCAGTACTACTGCTATAGGGCGGAGGGCAAGCGGTTAATCTACAGCAGGAGATGTTTGTAAGTTGTACTGTATATGCAAATCCCACATGTCAAAAAGTACAAACGAAACCAGCGCTCAAACCTTCAAGCAGATTAGAAAGAATTCTGAATGTCAAACGTTGAGGTGCAGTCCTTCAAAGATCGGGAAATCTTGGTACTGGGGAACAAAAGCAAACAAGGGCGCACTCTCATCGCGCATTACCGGGGTACACCACGTATTTATTCCATGAACATACTGTGTTTTTCTCATTGGCTACAGTATTTGTTGGTGGTGCTGTTCCAGCACTGCACATGGAGCCATGTCCTCCCTTCCGCCCTTTCTCTGACACACTTCCTCGGAGTGTGTGGGGCGCAGATCATACATGGCGCAGTGCGTGGACGGGATGCCGTGTAGTGCACATGCGCATCGGCATGCCCATTCATTTTCCAGTCACGTCCACACTAACACAGCGCGGCGAGCAGTGCAGACGCCACGCTTATTCCTGTATCCATTGGACACATATCAACTACTAGATACAAGCATTTGTTCACCTCATTATACAGTTGATTATAATTTCTGGCATGAGTCCCATTGCACAAGTCATTCATCCATGCATATCCTGGCAACAGTAAAGTTCATTTATTCATTCATTCATTATTATTATATAATATATATATATATATATATATATACACACATACACATACACAGTGGGGATCGAAGGTTTGGGCACCCCAGCTAAAAATTTGTATTAATGTGCATAAAGAAGCCAAGGAAAGATGGAAAAAATCTCCAAAAGGCATCAAATTACAGATTAGACATTCTTATAATATGTCAACAAAAGTTAGATTTTATTTCCATCATTTACACTTTCAAAATAACAGAAAACAAAAAAATGGCGTCTGCAAAAGTTTGGGCACCCCGCAGAATTTATAGCATGCGCTGCCCCTTTGCCAAGCTGAGACCTGCCAGTGTCATGGATTGTTCTCAATCATCGTCTGGGAAGACCAGGTGATGTCAATCTCAAATGTTTTAAATGCCCCAGACTCATCTGACCTTGCCCAACAATCAGCACCATGGGTTCTTCTAAGCAGTTGTCTAGAAAAACTGAAACTGAAAATAGTTGACGCTCACAAAGCTGGAGAAGACTATAAGAAGATAGCAAAGCGTTTTCAGATGTCAATATCCTCTGTTCGGAATGTAATTAAGAAATGGCAGTCATCACGAACAGTGGAAGTTAAAGCAAGATCTGGAAGACCAAGAACAAATATCAGACAGAACAGCTCGCAGGATTGTGAGAAAAACAATTCAAAACCCACGTTTGACTGCACGATCTCCTCCAGAAAGATCTGGCAGACACTGGAGTTGTGGTACACTATTCCACTATAAAGAGATACTTGTACAAATATGGTCTTCATGGAAGAGTCATCAGAAGAAAACCTCTTCTACGTCCTCACCACAAAAATCATCGTTTGAACTTTGCAAATGAACATATAGACAAGCCTGATGCATTTTGGAAACAAGTTCTGTGGACCGATGAGGTTAAAATTGAACTTTTTGGCCGGAATGAGCAAAGGTACGTTTGGAGAAGAAGGGGCACAGAATTGAATGAAAAGAACCTCTGTCCAACTGTTAAGCATGGGGTTGGATCAATCATGCTTTGGGGTTGTGTTGCAGCCAGTGGCACAGGGAACATCTCACGAGTAGAAGGAAAAATGGATTCAATAAAATTTCAGCAAATTTTGGATGGTAACTTGATGCCATCTGTGAAAAAGCTGAAGTTAAAGAGAGGATGGCTTCTACAAATGGATAATGATCCTAAAACACACCTCGAAATCCACGGGGGATTACATCAAGAGGCGTAAACTGAAGGTTTTGCCATGGCCTTCACAATCTCCTGACCTCAACATCATTGAAAATCTATGGATAGACCTTAAAAGAGCAGTGCGTGACAGACAGCCCAGAAATCTCAAAGAACTGGAAGACTTTTGTAAGGAAGAATGGGCAAAGATACCTCAAACAAGAACTGAAAGACTCTTGGCTGGCTACAAAAAGCGTTTACAAGCTGTGATACTTGCCAAAGGGGGCAGTACAAGATATTAACTCTGCAGGGGGCCCAAACTTTTGCAGACGCCATTTTTTTGTTTTCTGTTATTTTGAAAGTGTAAATGATGGAAATAAAATCTAACTTTTGTTGACATATTATAAGAATGTCTAATCTGTAATTTTGATGCCTTTTGGAGATTTTTCCATCTTTCCTTGGCTTCTTTATGCACATTAATACAAACTTTTAGCTGGGGTGCCCAAACTTTCCATCCCCACTGTGTGTGTGTGTGTGTGTATATATATATGTATATATTGTATATATATATATATATATATATATATATATATATATATATATATATTTATATACACATACATACATACATACATACATACATACACACACATGCATACATACATACATACCATATATATACACACTTTATTATTTTACATCTTGGTGGAGTTTTTTTTGTGTGGTTTTTTTTTTTTTCTTTTTTGTTTTTTTTTTTTGTGTTGCTGGAGGTGGATTTGATTGGCTTGTCTTTGATTGGGCCGTCATGTGTGCGGGGGGGGGGGGGGGGGGGGGGGGGGGGTTTAGTCCTCTTCACCACTTTTTGCCTTATAAATGTTGGGTCAGCAGGTCTACATTTCAGGGGGAGTTTGTCTCCTGAAACGCTTTAGCCTATCCCTATAAGGGTTTAGTATTCCATTGGACTGTCATTATGGACTACCTGCTCTGTTTTTATTCTCTTTTGGTTTGTGAGTATATAATCTGTTTTTTTTAATAAATACGTGGTGTACCACGGTAATGCACGATGAGTGCGCCCTTGTCTGCTTTTGTGCACCAAATCCCACATGTGTTCAACTGATGCATCAGCCTGCGACTTGCTGATCTTTTTGTGGAATAATGCAACATCATTCCATGTTACCGTACATATAGAGCACGTCTTCTTCTTGTGTGTTACTGGGGGGGGGGGGGGGGGGGATGTTTGCAAGGAAAAGAACTACTCTGTTGCCAAAGTTCGCAGTTCCCTGGCAATACAGCGAACACATAATATTTTAACTTCATATTAAAGCACCACTCAATAAAAAGAGACCATGACTGGCGCTGGGATAATCTATAACACTGGCAGGGTGCTTACAATGGTAAACATTTATTTCACAAAGTACAAATCTTGTAAAAGAAAATATTGATGCAGCCTTTCTCGCACCCCGGCAGTGTTGATCTGTCCATACCCCTGTCACTGGCACTTTTGCTGGACAGTTCGCTCTGCATGTAAATTTGGAGAAAAGTATACACTGATCAGCCATAACATTATGACCATCCACCATGATTCATTGAGGCATGGACTCCACTAGACCTCTGAAGGTTTGCTGTGGGATCTGGCATCAAGCCGTCAGTAGCAGATCCTTTAAGTCCTGCCAGTTGTGAGGTGGGGACCTCCATGGATTGGACTTGTTTTTCCAGCACATCCCACAGATGCTCAACTAGATTGAGATCTGGAGAATTTGGAGACTTCGTTGTCTTCCTCAAATGATTCTTGAATTCATTAGACCAGGCCACCTTCCTTCATTGCTCCGTGGTCCAGTTCTGATGCTCACGTGCCCATTTGTAGGCGCTTTTGGCTGTGGACACGGGTCAGCATGGGCACCCTGACACGGTCTGTGGCTACACAGCCAACTGCAATGTTCTGTGTGTTCTGGCACCTATTAGAACCAGCATTCACTTTTTCAGCAATTTGAGTTCCAGTAGCTCTTCTATTATTATTATTATACAGTATTTATAAAGCGCCAATAGTTGGCTCAGTGCTGTACATTACAAAGGGGGACAGAACATGTGACAGAACAATACCAATACAATGCAAAACATGATGGGGATCGAGGGCCCTGCTCCTTGGAGCTTACAATCTAGGAGGGAGGGGATGGTGGTACAGGAGGAGATAGCTGTGGGGGATGGAGTGGTAGGAAGAGTGGAGGAGGTCGGCAAGTTAGCAGGGGGGGCGGGGGTAGGCTTCCCTGAAGAGATGGGTTTTCAGGGTGCGCCTAAAGGAGAGGAGAGTAGGTGATAATCTGATGGGTTGGGCAGGGAGTTCCAGGATGGGTGACACCCTGGAGAAGTCCTGGAGGCGGGCATGGGAGGAGGAGACCAGGGAACTAGAGAGAAGGAGGTCTTGTGAGGAGCGGAGGAGTGTGCGTGTTGGGGTGGTACTTGGATATTAGGTCGGTGATGTAGTTCGGGGCAGTATGGTGGACGGCTTTGTACGTCAGTGTTAGGATTTGAATTTGATCCGTTGCGCAATCGGAAGCCAGTGGAGGGATTGGCAGAGGGGGGTGGAGGCCAGTGGAGGGATTGGCAGAGGGGGGAGGAGGACACTGAGTGGAGGCCAGTGGAGGGATTGGCAGAGGGGCAGTGGTGGATTGGGACACTGAGTGGAAGCCAGTGGAGGGATTGGCAGAGGGGGGTGGAGGACACTGAGTGGGAAGCCAGTGGAGGGATTGGCAGAGGGGGGGTGGCAGAGACGGAGAGCGGTTGGAAAGGTGAATGAGTCTGGCAGCCGTATTCAGGATGGACTGAACCGGGATAGCCAGCGGCGAGGCAGGCCACAGTGAGGAGGGAGTTGCAGTAGTCGAGTCGTGATATGATGACGGAGTGGATGAGCTGTTTAGTGGTTTCTGGGTTAGGATTGGATCGGACTACACAGATCAGTCTTTGCTCCCCACGTTCATCAATGGCCTTTTGGCCACCCATGACCCCGTCACCGGTTCTGCTTCCTTGGTCAGTCCTGACCACTATAGACTGGGAACATCCCACAAGAGCTGCAGTTTGGGAGTTGTTCTGACCCAGTTTTTCAAGCCATTATAATTTGGCCCTTGTCAAAGTCACTCAAAACCTTACACTTATTGACTTTTTCTGCTTTCAACACAACTTCAGGGACAACATGTTCACTTGCTGCCTTAATCTATCCTACTGACTTTTAGATGCATTGCTACAAGATAATCACTTTTATTCACTTTACCTGTCAGTGGTCATAATGATCAGTGTAAATAAATATGAAAATAAAAAATAAGTAATATTCTTAATACTATTACATGTAGTAAAGTGTATGCAACCTCTAACAATTATTTTCACTCTAATTTGGTTTGTTAACCACTTCCCCTTCGCCCTATAGCAGAAATGTTGCTACTGGGTGGCAGGGGTGCGCAAAATCACATATATATATATATATATAATATATATATATATATATATATATATATACATGATTTTGCATTTCTGTGTAGGGGGCACGTGCCCTACCTGCGCCGCCATTCGCGACCTCGGCTGTCAATCACAGGGTCCCGGCTGGTGATTGCTCGCCGAGTATCTCCAATGGGGGAGAGACCTGTATGTAAACAATACAGATCTCTCTCCTGTCAGCTCCTGCACGCTGCTTTGCGTGGCTCTGCATAGCAGCCAATTAATTTACACATATTGGGATTTTATTTTTTTAGCAAGGACATGTCACAGAATACATTTTGGTCTAAATTTATGATGAAATTTTATATTTTTCTAAAAAATTTTATTGGACATGTTTAATAGCAAAAAGTCAAAAATATTTTTTTTCTCAAAATTGTCAGTGTTTTTTTTTTGTTTATAGCACAAAAAATTGTGTGAAAAAAGGACGTAAATTTAATTTGGGTGCAGCGTTGCATGACCGCGCAATTGTCAGTTAAAGTAACGCAGCGCTGTAAGGCAAAAAACGGCCTGGTAAGGAAGAGGAGGGATTAATCCTCTGGAGGGCAAATGGTTAAATAAACCATTGACAGTGTATTGTTATGGCACAACATAAACCTTGATCCTGCCAGAAACCTAGTGTCTCTATTATCTTCATTTTGCATTCTTATCCCTGGTTAAACTTAGAGGGATACACTCTGAACTACAGAAACTACACCCACCTCCCCCTTATGTTATTGGGAAAGAACAGGTGAAGGTCTTCTCTAGTCCTCTCTAAGGGTGACAAACACTATTCCTCCATAGATACAGTACAGGGAGTACACTTTGCCACCCTATCACAGGAAGTGTCACTGGCAGGATCACCAGGTGAAAATAATAGAGAAATAAAAATGCAGCCTCATCATCTAAGGACTGGTAAGTTGCACGGTATGAACTTTATTTTCCATGGCGTTTGATACACTTTATTTGCGTACAATTCTCAGAGTAGATTATTTTTGTGACATCGGTTATTTAAGTAACTTAATGTACTTATTCATTCTGGGACATTGTGCCATCCCTACTCTTTTTTTGGGGGTGTGGCATGTTTGATGGCCTTGTCTGATTGCTTCATCCACTTTCTCCACCCACAGCATGCGATCTATCCTCAGGAATCATCGGTACGGCGGGATGCACGCTCCTTAGAGGATGAAGAAGAAATGTGGTTTAACACGGAAGACGAAGAACTGGAGGACGGAGATGCGATGGTTCTTCCTTCTGACAAAATAAAGAACAGCGAGGATCTCATGGATCCGATCAGCAAGTTCATGGAAAGAAAGAAGTGTGAGTGTTCCCTGACTACTTGTGCTATGAGGGCCTTCGCTGCGTATTTTTAGTTGATATGTGGAGGAAATGGTTAAAACTGAACTCCAGGATGAGCATATATTGTTTAACCTCTTAGCGCCGGCCGCACGCAAATGTGCGGCCTTCCGGCGTCTGGGCCTTGACACCGAGCGGCTGCACATTTGCATGCAATTAAGAAAAACATATGTGCTGAGAGTTTCGAGCTCCCAGCACACATGTCCAATACTCACGGAATGGTCCCGATCTCCTCTTTCGATCGGGACCTTTCCCTATCATGTGACAGCGAATCACGGCGGTCACATGACCTTAAAACCCCACCCCGGCTCCCAGCTTCTGAAACCCGGGAGGCTCCGGCTCCAAGGGGTTAAAGGATAAATAAATGAACATTTTTTTTTTTTTTTTTTGGCAGGTAAAAAATATGCATTTATTATTTTTGTCTGCAGGAGCCTGGACAGCATTGCACCAGCGATCAGTAAGATCGCTGATATGCAGGTCTCCTGCAGACCTGTCAGAATATCTGCTTGCCGTACGGGATGTATGAACAAGCAGATATACTGACCGGAAGCTTCAGTGAACTACCATGGCGCATTAGAGCGCTGTGGTAGTTCAATGAAAACTAAAAGCCCGCAGCCGCTAAGGCTGCCGGGACTTGTAGGCACTCATTCACAGAACTCTGAAAAACCCTGTTTTCAAATCTGACCGATAGTACGTGAAACTTCTCCCCGTACAATCTGTCAGAGGTTGGGGGCGGGGGGCTGCGGCTATGGGAACATGTTACATGTTCCACCTGAAAAATGGATGGACCATGTAACATGTTCCAAAGGTGAACTTATAAGTCCATTCATCATGTATATTCCTTTTGAATCTTGCTGTGCTTTGTGTATTTCTTCCAGATCTGTACAAGAGCCTCTATGCAGGCTTTCTTGCACAGGGTGACTTGTTTTTGCGCCTGGAATTAAGCTTTAAAGCGGATGTCTAGCTTTAGTTTCAGGTTAACCTATTGCCACCTGCCAGCAGTACATTTACTGCTGGCAAGCGTAGCCCCAGGCACTGCAACATGGATTCACCCTTAAACTGGAAGCAGGCAGGGACATACCAGTACGTCACTTTGCCTGCACGAGCCACCCATTCACAGTACATTTTGTGGCAAGCGTAGGCAGGCACTGCAAAGTGATTACTAAACTGGAAGCCCGGACCCCGCACGTCACTATGCCTGCATGAGCCTCCCCGGACCACCGCATGTGGGCGGGCGGTCCTTAAAGTGTTCTCCCCGGACCCCGCATTCACAATATCCGCTCTCCCCGGACCCTGCATTCACTATATCCGCTCTCCCCGGACACTGCATTCACTATATCCGCTCTCCCCGGACCCCGCATTCACAATATCCGCTCTCTCCCGGACCCCGCATTCACAATATCCGCTCTCCCCGGACCCTGCATTCACTATATCCGCTCTCCCCGGACCCCGCATTCACAATATCCACGCTCTATATCCGCTCTCCCCGGACCCCGCATTCACTATATCCGCTCTCCCCGGACCCCGCATTCACTATATCCGCTCTCCCCGGACCCCGCATTCACATTCCACTCTCTATATCCGCTCTCCCCGGACCCCCGCATTCACTATATCCGCTCTCCCCGGACCCCGCATTCACTATATCCGCTCTCCCCGGACCCCGCATTCACTATATCCGCTCTCCCCGGACCCCGCATTCACTATATCCGCTCTCCCCGGACCCCGCATTCACTATATCCGCTCTCCCCGGACCCCGCATTCACTATATCCGCTCTCCCCGGACCCCGCATTCACTATATCCGCTCTCCCCGGACCCCGCATTCACTATATCTCCGGTCTCCCCGGACCCCGCATTCACTATATCCGGTCTCCCCGGACCCCGCATTCACTATATCCCGTCTCCCCGGACCCCGCATTCACTATATCCCGTCTCCCCGGACCCCGCATTCACTATATCCCGTCTCCCCGGACCCCGCATTCACTATATCTGGTCTCCCCGGACCCCGCATTCACTATATCTGGTCTCCCCGGACCCCGCATTCACTATATCTGGTCTCCCCGGACCCCGCATTCACTATATCTGGTCTCCCCGGACCCCGCATTCACTATATCTGGTCTCCCCGGACCCCGCATTCACTATATCTGGTCTCCCCGGACCCCGCATTCACTATATCTGGTCTCCCAGAAATGCAATTATTTTAGTAAATATAAATGACTAAATAAATATACAAATGAGCAGCGCTAATATTGATCTATGCGAACAAAACAAATATGTGAACGAATAACCAATATGATAAATAATAAATGAAGTCTAAAAGAAAAAAGTGCAATGTCCAGCAATAATGTGTGAATCAATGGTGATCAGCGATGTGAAGTGACATCTGTGACCATCCTCCACCACTACGCACTCACCAGAAGCAAGAAATAAACAGGCTGTGTGCAGAAATCCCTCCACGAGATCCCTCCAGAAATCCCTCCACGAGATCCCTCCAGAAATCCCTCCACGAGATGTGTCCTTTCCACTGCAGGAAATAGATATATAGCCAAATGACATCCACTGCAACTTGGCTCTCTATGGGCATTCCTTGAAATGGACCTCCCCTGCTCCGGTCGGCGATCGATCCAAATGTGGCAGATCCTCTGCTCCCGCAGCAGCTGGCGCTCACACTCCAGTAATTAACTGTTTATCAGCGTCCACGCATCCAGTGACGGACTATGTGCTCTTCATTGAACTTGATGACATCAACCTGCGAATGCCAAAGTGTAGGGTAGATGGGGCTGCAGCGATCAGGCTTACTGTTTGGACGGAGCCGGAGGTAGTGATATAAAGAATGACAGAGCTCTGCTTCACTGACAGCCTGACAGTTGCACTCCTATGATGTCACCCCGGACCCAGAGCAGACATTTTTGATAAATTGCTAAATACCTTTTCACATCAGCAGTATATAGCAGTTGTGTGACTTCCATCAGTGTCTGCCTGAGCACTGGTTACAGCAGGAGTTAAAAGTTAAAGTCCAGACCTACTAGGCAGTCACAAAACTTACTCTCCACCAGTTGCCCCACCCAACCTTGGCCAGGTCCGCCCCAAACCCCACCCCCGGTCCGCCCCCAACCACGCCCCCTTAAAACTTATGAAATTACATTTTTCTTTAGAATAAATAGTCCAAAATATAAAACTGTACACAGTAATGTATATCCCCCCTCCCCTGTACTCCATTATAGTGATATGACATGTATACAGTAATGTATATCCCCCCTCCCCTGTACTCCATTATAGTGATATGACGTGTATACAGTAATGTATATGACCCCATTATAGTGATATGATGTGTATACAGTAATGTATATCCCCCTCCCCTGTACCCATTATAGTGATATGACGTGTATACAGTAATGTATATCCCCCTCCCCCCTCCATTATAGTGATACTCCATTATACAGTGTATATATGATAGTGATATGACGTGTTACAGTTCTTTCTGTCCCCCACGGCGGTGGAGAGGATGTCTCCTCTCAGTGGAGGAGAGCGGACCTCTCCTGCACCTGTCCCCTCGGCGGTGGTGCCGCAGAAGCTGGAAACCGGAAGTTGTAAACCGGAACTCTGTTTCACAATGAGGCTTGGAGTGCAGGTGCAGTCGCTCCATGCTTCATCTGTGCTCATTGCTTGCCACAGAGGAATTTCTCCTCGCATTTGGCGAGCGGCTTTTTCAAGCCGTGGGTTACAGCTTGTAGGAGGAGTTTTCTTTCTTCTCTGACTGTCCTATGAGGCTGAATAACCCCTGATCCTCTGTCTGGACAGTGCTGATTGGCCCTGTGCTGATCACAAACATACCCTCTCAAAGAAAAAAAAACATTCTAGCAATACACACCAAACTGAGCATGTGCTGAGAGAAGACAGGATCAAACAGCCTTTTGACAATGCGGTGGATTAACCCCTTAGGTCCCACAGTGAGTATAACAAGCACGCTTTACTGCATCTACAGACTGATTGTACTGTTGTGGGTTCAGTAACACTTTAAGTGGTTAAATTCAAATGGGGACTATGTTATGTTACACCTCGGGTAGAAGCTGCCTTTCTGCCTGTTAAGTGGAATTCCGGGTGATGAAGTTATTTGTGGTGAAGCTGCCAAGGCTCAGCTTCACTATCACTTTCATAGGAAGCTTTACATTTAGCGTTTACATAGTCTGACTGAAAAAAGACAAAAGTCCATCCAGTTCAGCCATTAACTGGCAGATCTATTGAAAGGTCTGGACCCCTGTGAAAGTAATTACTATGATAACAGTGTGTAGCTGTAATTGTATGTAAGGGGTAGTCTGGGGTGTTTTGTAATGGTGATTAGTACATGAACCCCGATATGTTCTGGTAAAACATGGACCCCGATATGCTCTGATTTCCAGTGAAGGAGAGTGAAGAGAAGGAGGTTCTTCTGAAGACCAGCCTCACAGGCCGACAGAGTCCAAGTTTTAAACTTTCCTTTTCTGGAGGGACAAAGACAACCCTCACCAGCCAATCAACAGCAAGCAGTTTACCGGGATCCCCCAGTCCGCCTGGATCTCCCGGCTCACCCGGTTCTCCTGGGTCCGTTTCCAAAAGCACACCTCAGACGGCAGCTATTACTACAAAGGTGAGTTTGACTGTAGCATGGCATGTCGCTGATGTTTCCTCTGTGTAAACCCACAAAGCACTTCTTTTTGTAGCAGAGTATTCACAGGTATGAAGTAAATCACTAAAATCCATATGTTCTTGTATTAATATAATGCCGAAATAGTCCATGGAGACTTCCAGGAGTTATAAAAGTAGGCTGGCCATAGATTACTCTTATTTTTTTTTTTTTTTTTTTCCCCGATCAGCCAACAGATTTGTCCTTCCTCACAAGTGAGGTGCATAGAGGAGTCGCTGAGACAACGTATTCTGACTGCAAGACAGTCCGCGGTCATAATACACTGATCAGTGGCTGCAGCCAGCAGATCAAGAGAAATTTTCCAGCAAGCCCCTTAACCACTTCCCGACCGGCCGTTGTATATAAACAGCTGGACGGTGGCAGTGCAGGATCGGGTGGCCGTTTATAAATGGCCTCCCCGCACCCTGCTTGTGCGCCTCCCTGGGAGCGCGCAGCACCGCGATCCGGTGCCCGCTGTGTCCTTCGGACACAGTGAAACACCGATCGTCGGACGGGACCTCTGTACGAGGTCCCGATCGTGTGATCACTGATTGGCCAATTGCAAAGTAGTAAGCAAGATGTCATTTGTGACATCATTGCTTACTACGTGTGAAATCTGTGAATGATCACAGAGGTCACATGGTACAGGGATATTCACAACAGCCTTGTACCATGTGACAAGCGGTGACCAATCACAGCTCACTCAGTACTTCTCAATGACTGCAAGAATGCAGACAGAGAGAAGGAGAAATGATTGCTTTTACATCCTATATGGGTGTAAAAGCAATCAGTGTACAAAAAAAAAAAAAATCTTCATCACCCCCCACAAGTAGTGCAGTGTCACCATATTGACATTGTACTGCTAGGGTGACACAGTATGTAAATAAAAAATAATATAAAAAAATAAAATAAAAATGTAAAAAAAAATGTTTAAAAATTATAATTTTTGGTTATAAACTAATTTGGATTTTTTTTTTTTTTTACACTAAAAAGATAACGGAATAAATTTTGGCCAAGATTTATGATGAAATATTTATTTGCAAAATTTTATTAAAAAAAACACTTTTTTTTTTCAAAATGTTTGGACTTTTCATTTACATAGCAAAAAAATAAAAATCCCAGCGGTGAATAAATACCACCAAAATAAAGCTTTATCTGTCTCAAAAAAATGGTAAAAAATTCATATGGGTACAGTGTTGCCTGACCACGCAATTGTCATTCAAAGTGTGATAGCGCTGAAAGCTGAAAATTGCCCCTGGACAGGAAGGGGTAAAAGTGTCCGGACTGGAAGTGGTTAAAGGATAAGTTCACTTTTTTAACAAAAAATAATATATGCACATTTTTTCTTTCGCAGGTTAACCCCTAGACACTGAGCGCACACAAATATGCGCCTCTGAGCGTCTGGGCCTTGATGCCGAGCGGTGGGCCGCATATTTGCGCACCATTTGAAAATACATAAGTGATGAGAGCACGCGCTCCCAGCGCACATGTCCGTGACTCACGGAAAGGTCCCGATCTCCCCTTGCGATCGGGACCTTTTCCGATCATGTGACCGCCAAGACAGCGAATCATGGCGGTCACATGACCCTAAAACCCCGCCCCAGCGTCTGAAACGTAAAGGGCCGGGAAGAGCAGGCTCAGAGGGTTTAAAAAATGTGCATTTATTATTTTGTTTTTGGAGCCTCTAAATCCTCATGCACACTTGACGTTTTTACAGCGGCTGTTTTTGGCTTTTGACGGGTTTTTTTTCTACAGCCAGTAAACCCCCCCAGCATGTTATCCTAGGTGTTCCTACACACAAAGAATGGAATCAATGTTCTTTGGCTGGAAAAAAAAACCCCAGGACTAGTGGGATTCTAGAGGAGTTTTTTAGCTGTAAAAACACTCTAACAAGGTAAAACGCTGCAAACCGACATTTTTGGATTTTTTTAACCAAAAAACCCATAAACGCAGGAAAACGCTAATGCAAAAAAACACTAAAACGTGCTGAAAAACTCACGTTTTTAACATAACGTTACCAGTGTTATCAATACGTCCCCCCAGTGTGCATGAGGGCTAAAGCATTGAACCAGTAATCAGGAGGTCGCTGGTGGGTTGCAGGCCTCCCTCTGACCGGTCACTGTATCTATTGTGCATCCCGTATGGGCAAGCTGATACTTACTGACAGGAAGGCTCACGGAACTACTATGGGCAAGCTGATACTTACTGACAGGAAGGCTCAATGAACTACTATGGGCAGCAGATACTTAGACAGGAAGGCTCAATGAATACTATGATACTTGGCAGGAACTGAATACAGGAAGGCTCAATGAATACTATGGGCAAGCAGATACTTACTGACAGGAAGGCTCAATGAACTACTATGGGGGCTGAAGCAGATACTTACTGACAGGAAGGCTCAATGAATACTATGGGCAAGCTGATACTTACTACTGACTATGGGCTTAGGGAATGCTACACAGGGAACTACTATGGGCAAGCTGATACTACTGGCAGGAAGGCTCAATGAATACTATGGGCAAGCAGTTTGTGACAGGGAAGGTTCAATGAACTACTATGGACAAGCTGATACTTACTGACAGGAAGGCTCACCAAACTACTATCGGCAAGCTATGAAACTTACTGACAGGAAGGCTCAATGAACTACCATGGACAAGCAGATACTGACAGGGAAGGCTCAATGAACTACTATGGGCAAGCATGAATACTGGGGACAGGGAAGGCTCAATGAACTACTATGGGCAAGCAGATACTGACAGATACTGACAGGGAAGGCTCAATGAACTACTATGGGCAAGCAGATACTGACAGGGAATGTTCCATGAACTACTATGGGGGTAAGCAGATACTGACAGGGAATGTTCCATGCTCAATACTGACAGGGAACTGAACTACCATGGGTAAGCAGATACTGACAGGAAGGCTCAATGAACTACAGGAAGATACTCAATCACAGGAAGGCTCAATGGACTACCACGCTGTGGAGAGCTGTAGTAGTTAATTTAAAACTATAAGCTGACTGCTGCATAGGCTGTCGGAACTTGTACACTCACCGTCCAATTTATTGGGTGCACCTTGCTAGTGCCATGAAAATCTCCCCCACACACATTACACCACCAGCCTGAACCGTTGATACAAGGCAGGATGGATCCATGCTTTCATGTTGTGTACACCAAATTCTGACCCTACCCTCCGAATGTTGCAGAAACCAGTCCGCCCATTCTCCTCTGACCTCAACAAGGCATTTTCCTCCACACAACTGCCGTTCACTGGATATTTTCTCTTTTTTGGACCATTCTCTGTAAACCCTAGAAATGGTTGTGTGTGAAAATCCCGGTAGATCAGCAGTGTTTGAAATACTCAGACCAGCCCATCTGGCACCAACAACCATACCACGTTCCCCATTCTGATGCTCGGTTTTAACATCAGCAATCCGTCTTCACCATGTCTAGATGCCGAAATGCATTGAGTTGCTGCCATGTAATTGGCTGAAAACAATTTGCCAAGCAATTGACCATATATACCTGATAAAGCGGCCAGTGAGCGTAGATTTCTCATTCACAGAATACTGTGAATGAGTGACGCGGCCAGGCGGAGCTCTGCACAGCCGCATTTTTTTAAAAAATTGTGACAGCTAGCGGGAAGGAGTAGATCCCCCGCTAGCTGCCACAGTGCAGATCAAGGAGGTGCGGGGGCCGGTCCACTCGTTGCATGTTACACCCTGAATGTGGGTGTAATATGTATCATGTTACAAAAGTCAATGTAGCAATTGACTTCTGTCTTAACAGGCATGGACACATATGGATCATAATTCGTCCAGTCCCTGGTGAACCAGACGGATTTCAATCTATCTGTGGCCTGGTTTTTATAAACTTTGTTCGTTCTGGTATATATCACAAAGGTCACTGCTCTCACCAAACAATTGTGAGAATATATAAAAAAAAAAAAAATCAATAGGCGGGTTAGACAAAAACAATGGAAACACTCCATGATTTGCAGGTGTGACAGTGACTCCATGTTTGGTGTTGAAAGCGGAAGAGATGTATCATCCCGGCATACCAATAAATGTACGTTCGCGGTTCTTCAAGTGGATAAGGAGACCAATCCAGTCATTTCGGGTTTACTTTTCAAGAGGATTGAAACCAAATTGAGCCCTAATGGCATGGCGGAGTTGATAGAAGAATACCAATATGGGTAACTGTGTGCTGTTGGTGTTTGTAAAGGGGAGGATGTAATAGCACTGGAACCGCTTTCACGGGTCAGTCAAGAGAGTTATAGGGTTGGAAAAGGCCTAGCCACCCATGTGTTGTAACTTGCTGTGCTGCTGGGTTGCAGAATGTCAGGTATTGAAATTTGGAAACATTTATGGGGTTGAAGGCCACATTTTTGTGGGGGGTCATATGATGGTCATCTCCTTAAATGATGTTGGGATCTAGGGACCTCTGATGTTGGTGAGAAGAAATATGGAATCCTGAGCGCTCTGTTAAACCAGTTGCCACCTGGCCTATGGCCAAATGGCGGCCAGGCGAGCAATTCATCCTTTCAGGAGGACGCCATATGGCGTCCTTATTGCGCATGCCCACAAGGCCACTCTGTGGCGAGATCTGTCACCGGCCATGTACCTCGGACACGGGCCATGACAGATCTGTGTACCAGCCCCGTTGCCAGTACCATGTGACCTGCTGTGACCAATCACAGTTGTAAACAATGGATGGCTTCCTTTCATGCCATCCATTGTATAGCTGTGAATGGTCACAGCGATCACATGCACAGGCTGGGCCAATCACAGCCCTTCTGTGTCGTGATTAGCTGTGGCCAATCACAGCTAATCACAACACAAAAAAAAAACCTGAATGAATCGATTTCAGTTAAATGCTTGCGTATAGCAAAGAAATTCTTTGCTATAATCAATACCGTCACCAGTCAGTGTCCCTGATCACCGCCAACACCAGTTATATGATGACGCTGTACTGCACTGGTGACAGTATGTAAAAAAAAAAAAAAAAATTTGTGAAGTTTTTTTTTTAATTTCTTTTTTTCCCCAAAAATTATGACAAAAAAATTACTTAAAAAAGCTCGCCATACCTCTTATGAAATACGTCCGGACTGTCTACTTTGCAAAAAGGGGTAATTTGGGGGATATCTGTACCGTCCTGACATTTGGGGATATCTGTACCGTCCTGACATTTGGGGGATATCTGTACCGTCCTGACATTTGGAGGATATCTGTACCGTCCTGACATTTGGGGGATATCTGTACCGTCCTGACATTTGGGGGATATCTGTACGTGTCCTGACATTGGGGGATATCTGTACCGTCCTGACATTTGGGGGATATATCTGTCCTGACATTTGGGGATATATCATTTGGGGGTATCCGTCCTGACATTTGGGGATATCTGTACCGTCCTGACATTTGGGGATATCGTCCTGACATTTGGGGGATATCTGTACCGCCCTGACATTTGGGGGATATCTGTACCGTCCTGACATTTGGGGGATATCTGTACCGTCCTGACATTTGGGGGATATCTGTACCGTCCTGACATTTGGGGGATAATCTGTACCGTCCCTGACATTTGGGGGGATTATCTGTTACCGTCCTGACATTTGGAGGATATCTGTACCGTCCTGACATTTGGGGATATCTGTAACGCCCTGAACATTTGGGGGTATCTGTGCCGTCCTGACATTTGGGGGATATCTGTACCGTCCTGACATTTGGGGGATATCTGTACCGTTCTGACATTTGGGGGATATCTGTACTGTTCTGACATTTGGGGGATATCTGTACTGTCCCTGACATTTGGGGGATATCTGTTTTTACTGTTCTGACATTTGGGGGATATCTGTACTGTCCTGACATTTGGGGGATATCTGTACTGTTCTGACATTTTTAGGCCTCAAGAAATTAGATTGGCTGTCAGTACTTCAGAATTGATCATTTTCAGACATATCCCATAGTTTGTGAACTCTATAACTTTCCTACAGACTAAATAATAAACACTGATATGGGTTATTTTCACCAAAGACATGTAGCAGAATACATCATTTCGGCCTAAATTTATGAAGAACAATTATTTATTTGCAAACTTTTATAACAGAAACAAAGAAAAACGTGCTGGTTTTTTTTTTCAACATTTTCGAGATATTTTTTGTTAATTTAGCAAAAAAATAAAAAGCCCAACTGATTAAATACCACACATAAAAATAAAGCTGCTCTAGTTGTGTGAACAAAATGATAAAATTTGAGTTTGGGGTACAATGTTGCATGGACCCTCGCAACTTGTCATTCAAAGTGTGATATAGCTGTAATGCTGTTAATTGGCCTGGACTGGCTGGGGGTAAAAGTGTCCGGTATTTAAGTAGGTTAATTTAAAGGGGCATTTGACTCATGTGTTGCTATTAAACCCAGTCTCCTAGTTAAATATTGTTTTGAAGATCTTGGTGCTAAGGATGTGTCTGTGTCCTTTTCAAATGGCTTATTGAAATTGCACATTCTTTCTTCCCACTGTTGCTATCTTGGTGGTTGTTTCTATATTTTGCAATTATTTGAAGAGTTTTTGAAATTTAGTTTTAGTGGCTTTTCCTTTCCAATAACAATCTGTTTATTTTTTTCTGTTTTATTGGACTTCTCAGGGGTGGCCTTGTGAGGACTGGTAGATTATACTGTCGTGGTCGAGGAGGAGGTAGGTTGGAGTGAAGGGAGGAGTGGTGAGAGTGGTTGTGGTGGAGCGACTATTGCAGGTTGGACCGGGGGGTGGCGGGGGGGTCGTAGTGGGGAAACGCAGGAGGGGATAGAGTTGAGTTTGGAGGGGGCCAAACACTTAAGGCGAATGAGGGGCGAGGTGTGGGGGGGGGGGGAGGCAGAGCGGTGACGGGTAAGGGGAGGAGGGGCGATTGTTGGAGGGGGGAGGGGTGTAAAGCAGGGTAGGGAGGGGGGGGGACACGGAGGCATTGGGAAGGAGTGGGATGGATTAGGGTGGGGGCGGGAGGGGGGGAGGAGGAAAGGAGGGGTGGGGGGAGGGGTAGAAGGAGGGTGGAGGGGGGGGGAGGCAGATGGGGGGGGGTCGGGAGGGGAGGGGGAGGGGGGGGGGGGGGGGGGGAGGGCGGGAGGGGGGGTGCGGCGGGTGGGGGAGGTTAAGAGGGGGGGGGGGGGGGGGGGTTTGAGGGGGCGGCTGCGCGCGGGGGAGGGGGGGGGTGAGACTGTTTTGGGGGGGAGTGGACAGGTCCTAGGGGCGTGGGGGGGTGTGTATACAATGAAGTGTAGTTGAGGAGGGGGGGGGGAAGGGGGGGGGGGGGGGCGGGGGCGGGGAGGCCGTGTGGGGAATGTGGGACGGAGTAGGGGGGACGGGGGGGTAAGTATTAGGGGTAGTGGGCGGGTCCCTGCGGGGAACGTGAGGGTGGGGGTGGGGGGGGGGGGGTGAATGGGGGAACTTTAGGGGGCCATAGGGTTGAGGGGGGGGGATATCGGTAGCGTGACCGCGGAGGTGGCATTGGGGGGGGGGACGTGGGGGAAGGAGTCGGGAGGAGGAGGGGGAGGGGAGGGGTAAGGCGGTTGGGAGAAGAATTGGGGGGGGGGGGGGATGGAGGTGTATGGGGGAGGGCCAGAGGGGGGGTAGGAGGGGTTGGGGGTAACGAGGAGGTAGAAAGTACGGAGAAGTGTGGACGAGGGGTGCATGGGGGGGGGGGGGATGGAGCGATGGGATAAGGGAGCGGGGGGGATATAGTCGTGGGACGAAGTTCTTTTTTTTTTTTTTCTTTCTTCTTTCTCTTTCACTTCTTTTTTGTTCCAATCGCCCCTTCTAAAAAATGCAAAGCATGGCTCATAATACCAGCGTTTCTCTCAATGGGACAACTCCCCGGTGTAAATAACTGATTCTCCCACAAATGAACCGAGATAATACCACCACAGCCGGAAAGCAGGCACTGTGGGTGGGGTCCGACACAAACAAACAACACGTAGACTTCTGCTCATCAAGTGCCAATTCCCAGGAGCGTCAGGAGAAGGAAGACGACCGTTGGAAAAGAGACGACTTGGCCTTCTACTCTCCCGTGTAGACCACACATTGCCCTTTTCTCAGGGAAGGAAAAAAAACAAAAAAATTAAAATAAAAAAGCCAACAGGGCAGGGGTTTATTGTTGAACTCTTGATTGGCTGGTCAGTTGCTCCAAAGTTTATGGAGAGAGGTTCTGAAAACTCGCCGTTCCGTAAAGTCTGCAGCTATACAACGGATGCCAGCACTTCAGATTGGGTGGAATGATTCTGCCTGTATAGGATTCCCACATCCTGAACATTTCTCATTTCCACAACAGGTTTTAAAACCCTCGGTGGGGTGAGACGATTACAACAGTTTACTTTCTTTTCTTTTTTTTTTTTTTTAATAATTTTATTTTTCTTTTACAACTGAATTCCCCCCATTGCCCTGGAAACTGCAGCTTTCATTTGGAGGTGTAGAGGAAACCTCTCCAACCTTCTTGATTAAAATTTGAGTGGAATTCTAGATGTGTTCACTTTGTGTCCTGTTTTGAATCATTTTTATATTCTTATTTCTCCACCCTGGGCATCTGCCGACTTGTTGAATCTCTTTGGGACCATTAAATTTTTTCATTGTATATGATTCTGTTGTGATGGTTACCTGCTTTACGGATATTGCAGCCAGAACACCTGATTAGGGGAGGGGGGAAATGTTTTGTGTTTTTGTTTTTTTGTTGCCAAGTTGTGTGGCTTTATCGAAATGTAATACTGAAAGCTCACAGTGGAGTTGTAAAGTCTGTCAACCAAAGCAAAAAAAAATTGACACATTGGGGTTGATTTTACTAAAACTTGTGAACGACAGAATCTGGCACAATTGTGCATGGTAACCAAATTCGGCTTCTAACTTCAGCTTGTATAAGAAGCTGAATTGGATACTAGTTGCAGTGCTGCAAATCCATTATTCTGTGCGCCATTGTTTTAGTAAATCTCCCCGTAAATGGTAGTCTGCTAAGTAGCATTTTTAGAACTGCAACAGTAGTGGTGTTTTATCTGGGCATCCCGTTCTCCATGACAAAAGTATTATTACATGTTGATCCAGGCAGCAGATCAGTTACTGGCTGTCATCACTTCTATGAACAAGCCCAGGTGTTCATTGAATGAGTGACATGTTTAGGGGTCATGGGTATGGGGTGTGGTCTTGCACAGAGGCCCCCGGTCCTGTGATTGAAAAGTGAAGGTTCCCCACAGGTGGGGACCTAGAATCCTCCAGAGAACAAATGGCCCCCATTAGCACAACTGTGACTCTCCTCTCCCCAAAAAGAGAGAGAGAAAAAAGTCTTTCTGAGAAAGAGGGGGAAAAAAGAAGAGGGAGAACAAAAAGAGCGAGAGACTGAAAAAAACAAAGAGAGGAGAGACCCCCTCCTCTTTTCTCTCTCTCCCCCTCACTCTTTAGAGGGATCTCCCTCTCCCCTCCTCTTCCTCCCCCCCCCCCTCCTCTTTCTCCCCCCCCTCCACCCCTCCCTCTCTCCCCCCCCTCCTCTCCCCCCCCCCCTCCTCTCTCTCTCCCCCCCCCTCCTCTCTCCCCCCCCTCCTCTCTCTCCCCCCCTCCTCTCTCTCCCCCCCTCCTCTCCCACCCCCCCTCCTCTCCCTCCTCTCCCTCCCCCCATCCCTCCTCTCCCTCCCACCCTCCTCCTCTCTCTCCTCTCCCACCTCCTCTCTCCACCCCCCTCCTCTCTCCTCCCCCACTTCCTCCTCTCCTCTCCAGCCCCTCTCTCTCTCTCCCCCCTCCCCCTCTCTTCCCCCTCCCCCCCTCTCCTCCCCCTCCCCTCTCTTTCCCCTCCTCCTCTCTCCCCCCCTCCCCTCTCTCCCCCCCTCCCCTCTCTCCCCCCCCTCCCCTCTCTCCCCCCTCTCTCCCCCCTCTCCCTCTCTCTTCCCCCCCTCCCCTCTCTCCCCCCTCTCTCCCCTCCTCCCCTCTCTCTCCCCCCCCCCCTCTCTCTCCCTCTCTCTCTCCCCCTCCCCCCTCCCTCTCTCTCTCCCCCTCCCCCCTCCCCTCTCTCTCTCCCCTCCCCCCTCCCCTCTCTCTCCCCCTCCCCCCCTCCCCTCTCGTCTCCCCCTCCCCCCTCCCCTCTCTCTCCCCCTCCCCCTCTCTCTCCCCCTCCCCCTCTCTCCCCCTCCTCCCCTCCCCCCTCTCTCCCCCTCCTCCCTCCCCCCTCTCTCCCCCTCCTCCCTCCCCCCCTCTCTCCCCCCCTCCTCCCTCCCCCCTCTCTCTCCCCCTCCTCCCTCCCCCCTCTCTCTCCCCCTCCTCCCTCCCCCCTCTTCTCTCCCCCCTCCCCCTCCCCCCTCTCTCTCCCCCTCCCTCCCTCCCCCCTCTCTCTCCCCCTCCTCCCTCCCCCCTCTCTCTCCCCCTCCTCCCTCCCCCCTCTCTCTCCCCCTCCCCTCTCTCTCCCCTCCTCCCCCTCTTCTCTCCCCCCTCCTCCCCCTCTCTCTCCCCCCTCTCTCCCTCTCTTTCCCTCCCTCCCCTCTCTCTTTCCCTCCCTCCCCTCCCCATCTCTTTCCCTCCCTCCCTCCCGCATCTCTTTCCCTCCCT